CCTCCGACGCCGACGTCGCGGCGCGTGCGGTTCCAAGGCGACTTGGACGTGAACGACCATGCTGCAGGATCGTCGCGCGTCACCCTATCGCCCAACAACGATAGGAATTCATCCTCATCACCCTCTCCTCCCCCAGCGTCGCTGCCGAGAACGAATGTGTCTCGATCGAGAAGCCTGCAACCAGAGGAAGTCGCTAGCACGTCCGCCTGGGGTGCGTAAACTTTCCCGCTTTGCATAAGATAACACGGTTCTTTCGGAGAATCGCCCATCTTCCTGAAAAAAGGGATCTTCAAAGCTATAAAAATATGGGTGTGGTGTTGAGTCTTTTGGGGTTGGATTTGAGTCTAGCGAGCACTGGTTTAAAAAAAAATGTATATATATGCTTTTTACTAGATCTCTTTATATTTTGAGGTTGATGTCTGTTGTACTGTAGTGAACATACTCATTATTTCTGCTATATTTGCTATTTATAGAGAATAGGAAGTATAAATTCTCTATTGTGTTTACGTTCTCTGTTATATTTTTTATATTTAACATATTTGATATATTTGCTGCATAGAATGTACTGAATACTTCCACTGTGTATATTGCCTTTATAGCACCAATTATTATACCAACTATTTTTCCCTTGTAAAGAATATGTGCTATATCTATTGTATTAAAAATGCCCATTATAGTCTCTGTATTCACAATAACTGTTACCCTTTTCCTGACCAATATATTTACTATAACTCCAAAACATATTTCAGGTGTCGCTGGGAGCTCAAAATCAAGGATAGAGGGCGACGACGACGACGTGGAGTCTTGCTGTTCTACCTGCAGCTCCTCAAGCAGTTCCGATGAAGCTGCTGCCTACGCCTTGCCACCGAGAAGAGCATACGGCGGTGTCAGGATTTCTTACGTGCCCAACGACGCAGTGGCATGCGCGAGGAAACGTACACCGACGTCTTCAATGTCGAATCAAGCGCATAGGGATGCAGACAAGTGTATTGTGTCCTGATGATCCCCTGAAGAGTTTCAATGATCTTTACGTCGATATCAATGTATTGTCCATTGAGGGAAACACTTCTACTTCACTGCCAGTTGATGTGAAGAAGAAATTCGTGCGAGTCTCGAACCGATGAACAACGCGAAAAATATGGACTAACGCGATAAAATACAAGAGTTCCTAAAACCGACGTAAGATTCGCTATGTTTCCAGCACTCGAGACTCAGATAAACGATTTAATATACTCGTGTACATAATGAACGTACTTCCGAAATGATCGCTCGTGAAGACCGAACAATCGCGACGATCGCGCTTCTCCTTCTATTTTTAATACCCCGGTGTATTTGATAATAATAACGATGATGATAACGTTATATTTTATTACCATTGCCATTCCCGCTGCGTAAACGACAGTTCACACGGGCGCTGTGTTCTTGTTCGAGATTCGATCGTCTTGTCTTGACCAACTTTTTTTAGATAATAGTTCGAAAGAAAAAAGTTGGTCAACTCTACAAAGTAAATAGTATTTAACCGTGATGCGACTGCATGGCGTTACGCTGTAAGTACAAATGAAGAGCGTTCGGGCCGAGATGTAGACAATCTGAAAAGTATTTGGAAAATAAATTGAGACGAAGACTAATTAAGCAATTATATTGTTGTACGATTTGATTTTACCCGATATTTCCTTCATTTTTTATATTTCTTTATGCTAAATCTATTTGTCATTTTCTGTCATTTTGATCTTTCTATTAACATTGAATCACAAATAAGTAATAAATGAATAAGAATAGAGTATAAATAGTAAGGTTATAAATAATGAATAACCTTAAAAATAATGTTCTCAACTTTCTAATTAAAATTTATAAGTTCAGTTCAAAATGTATATGTTTAAGCATTAGATCATGGCAAATACTCGTCTTTAAAAATATGCACTGCTAAACAGGGAGAAAACAGGGAGAATATATGTTACAACCAAATACATCTTTCTCTACCACTTAAACGATAATTAGCCGAATTAATTCAACCATCTTTAACGCATGAAAACTCGCTTTCTACTCCTCCAACCTAAAGGTAAGATCGACCATAAGCGAAGCAATATTCGGAAAAATCGTAAATGTCTGGTTCGAGGATCGTTGCACCGGAGCAAAATGCGGGATAACCTACAATCGAAGCAGCCGATAGAAATCAGTATGATGAACTATTTTATCAACGGCAAAATCTAAAACTGTATCATTATTGAAACAACAATGACAAATTTTGCGTTGATATTATATTGATGTCTGTTGAAAAAGTTAATGGTTGTTGTCCAGTGTTTCTCCATGTTTCTCACGTTCCTACTTCTAAGAACAGAAATGGCTTTGAAACCAAAATAAAAAACGTGTTCTTCTAATTATGTCGCACCAATGTGAAGAAAATTTTTCTACAAATTGATACTTTGATACATACTTCTTAGGTACTGTTTGGAACATGGAACAACAAGTAACAATATCGATGCATATTTCTTTATGATTCTGTCTCTAAAAACAAATGTCGTTTTAAAACCAAAACAGAACCCAAATATTTCCCTAATTAGGATGATTGTCAGTATGGACAAAATGCTTGCACAACTATTAACTTGTGGTATATTGTTGTATATATATGTTATATATATTTGTATAGCAAATAGTTACTCGTTATTGTTTCATTGAGCATGAAGTTTGAGTAGACAAAACTGCGCTGTGCTTGTCATCCGATTAGAAGGGGGAAAATGAAAACGCACGGTTGAGCAGTGAAAAGAGCGAAAGTGGTTTCTCTCGGCTGCACCAAACGTCTGTTGTTATGCCACTATCTCGTCTACTTGTTACACTCATAAAACGTTTCTCTCTCTATCTTTCTTTCTTTAGCTTTCTCTTATTTCACGCGAGAGAGATCTCTGGTTTATGAGGAATCGTCGGAAGAACGAGCCACGCCAATTTATTATCTACTAACGTACACGTTTCCGATCAAGGATCCTCATGTTGCGAAACATTATTAGCATATGGCGTACGTCTATTATCCATGTCCCGCATATCGACGTAATCGAAGGTTTCAAACAGGTGCGTGCCCAAATGAAACTATACGATTATGTCATGGTAATCCCGAGGAACAACAAGTACACGGAATTATGAAACTGCTTGGGAGATTTCGTGACCTGCTGGGGATCTATAGAGAATTGTATGATAAATTGTTTTAGTTGGGTTTTGTAACGCTGACTTAATTTGCTCTAGTGTTGAAACAGGTGTAATTTTATGTTATTTGATATTTGGGTATTAGCAAATAATGGAAAAATCTTCAATTTAATTTGAAGAGTGATAAGAGAGTTTTAATATTCAGATAGGCTAAGGTGGTATCTATGTGTTTTTGGATTATTACTTTTTTATTTTTAACAGTTTGTTTTTTTTTTGGCGAAGACTGAAACGCAGGTCCATAATAATTTTAAAAAGTATTTTTTCTTTCGTTTTATGCGATTCTACTATCCATGCTTTAAAACGCTTGAAGTGAAATCCTCGTTGTAAATCGCGTGTTTGGAACAGTTTTACTGGACAATTACGCAAATTGACGTACGGACGTTTCTCGAGAAGCATTTTTCTTGCATTCATTGTACACTTCGCTGGTTGCTAATATTGGTAAAAAATATACATGTATAATTAATTATTTATAATAAAAAACATTTCAAAACAAATGACAAATATTTCAATTAAATTTATAAACAATAAAACTCCTAACAAACTATCAAAAATATTAATCGAATTTTAAATATCCTTTATAATTTTTAAACAATATAAAACGAAATAGTAAAAAATAATGTTTAGTTATTTCACATAAAAATGATTAAGAAATTGCAATTGATTGAATTCGTATAGTGGGACAAATTAGAATTAATCTACATTCTCATTAAACTACATATTTCCACAAACACAAACTCTATTTTTAAGATTATAGAGTTATATAGTGTATAAACTAGGCCGAGATTGCGCAACTATAACACATAAGTGACTCGTAGCAACTGTATGTGTTTGAAGGAGAACGCATTCTCGCGTAGATGCTTCTTTTTACGGAATCCTCCTCGGACGCGTAACACGGGCCATAATGCCATGTTATGGAACTTTGCCATTGTATTGTTTCCGTGGATCTATTTGCGATACACGAGTGTTTCTTTCAGCACATTCACCTATGACCCCAGTCGTCGAGTTTAGTATGAAAGATAACCTTAAATCTTTACATCAGTCCTATTTTCAGTAGTATATAAAATTTGTTCGATCTTTCAATGATTTTGAGTTTTCAAGTTGATTTGTTTCATTACAGATAACATTCTTTAGCAGTAATAATAAAAAGATGTCTATGTTTTAAAATAATAGGCATACAATAATTTTGTCTATATGAATAGACTTTATGAAAATAGAAGCTATTAATTATTGTTTACACGTTTCTGACGGCCTATTAACTGTTTAAAATAAAAATAACATTGTTTAATAATAAAAAGATAAGAATGTAATAGGTACATACGAACATAATAATTTTTTCTATTCATAGATAGAAATTATGATATTATTGTTATTTTTCAAACATATATTTATTATTAATTAAGATTCTTTACTATCTTTTGATAAATTCCACTAAATCTAAAACTCTCTACTAATGTTTTATTTATACCCTTCACCTAGGTAAACCTAAACGACCACCTGTACATACAAGATTTCCATTTTGCTTATCTCCTAACTTAAACTCACCAAAAAAGGCACCTCGAGTACATGCGAGGTGTGCAAGGTGTTCGTGCGCCGTGGAATGTAGGAAAGAATGGCCATGGAAGGAATGGCAGACCCACTGGCCATAATATTGAGCTACGCACACGCAACTGCTTGCCATTCCATATACACTTAGCGCCTTCGTCGATGTTTTAATGACGACACTGTCATGGAAACGTATTCTGCAGGCAGAATCATGGAGTCCTTCTGCCCTTTCTTCGTGGTGGACCGCGGAGGCATTCCTTACAGCCCCCCGTAACATGTTATCACGTCAACTTATGTAATGTTAAAAATTTGACTATGTTTGATAGTAAAAGATTCTTAACTTCGAATATGTTGAACTCATTGAAATAAGCTGAAACCAATTTACTTTTAACACATGAATAACTTCTCTATTTTGCAAAAAAAAAAGATGAAAGCTTTAATATTCTTTGCACGGTTTAAATTGTCACACTTTGTTACTACTACATTGTTACACTGTGTAGTATTATACTTAATACTGCTTAAACACTGTTCGATGCGTTTCCTGACCCCTTGAAGTTAACTATGTATGTATATAGAATGTTGGTGAGACGACGGGAATCTTTTCACCCGGCTCTCACCCGGAAACCTCAACAGCGTTAAACGTGGCAGTATTAAATATTGGATTGCCAGATAAGTCTTAAACCTTTCAGAGGTCACATTTTTGCTCAGAAAGAAGAAAAATTCTGTATGAATGGCATAATGGAACTATTCAATAGGTGGCAGAATATTATTGAACAAAGTGGTGCATATTTGATTTAATTATATTATTACAAAGTGTTCAAATAAAGTATAATTCATACTAGAAAAGCTTCAAGACTTATCTGATTATCCAATATAATATTGCACAGTGTAACAATGTTAAGTGTAAAAAAGATGAAGGTTATATTGAGGATTGGATACATTACTTCAGGTAAAACTCGGCAAAGTTTCTGCTATCCAGAACGAATCTTGACCTCTCCTTGTGCGTTTCGTCTCATTTAAATCACGGGACTGAATGAAATCTCGTTTTCCCGTTACATGGAATCTGATTCATGCGCGAATCACGCCGATCGGCGTGGAAAGAGAATGCATTCTTCTCTAGCCGCTTCTATCCACCGTATCTTCGGCCATTCTGGATGCTGGATACTTTGTAGATACGTCCAAATAACGTTCCAAATAGAGAGAATCAACGAGCAAACATTGGTGTCACGAAACAAAGGAACCCTCTTATCCGGCTACGAGGAACGCGAATGCAAAGAATTCATTATTCAATCGCGCCTCCGGTACTCGTGTTGTGCCCATTATTGATTACACGGGCTTTTGTAAGAAAATTCTTACGAGATCCCGATGAGTGATCGTTGGATATGCGAAGTTATATAGCGTCACGCGTATCGGACTTTTTGCGGTGAGGTGGTGACAGTCTGAGCTGGAATTAATAACAAAAAAATGCATCTATAAGATTAGTTTACTAGGCTTATAAAATTGGAGGAATTTTATAGCGTTGATCCTTGATGACCTTGATTCATTAATTTAATTCATAAATGGTGAAACCATTAGCAAGAAATTGCTAGACTATGGAACATTAAAACATTTTATATTAATAAGTGATTATTGAATTGAAAAACATAAAAATATTTTATATAGATTAATTTTTAAGCTAGAATAATATGAAATTAGTTTATGCTATATAGATTTAGTAGTTAATGAGTAGTTAATAGATTTAATAGTATGAAAGAAAGAGAAAATATTGAAGAATACAGTGTGGCTTATAATGCACCAACAGTAGAGAGAACTAAAAAGGGTGGTTAAAAGAACATAAAGAGTGTAGAAAGTCACTAAAATAACAGTAGAATCCTGCAAGATCGCAAATAAAAAGAAGCCCAACTGTACATGATAAGGTAATGAAAAATATAATATCAATATCTAATAACAAAATGTTACAATTATAACCTTAAAAGAAAGAAGCTAACCTATTTCTGTGCCAAGAACAGAAACCAAGACAGACCAAAAGAGCAAAAAAGAGAAATGACGGTAGTGTTCGTTGCGCGAAGATGCATCGAAAATTTCACCTGACCAGCAATGGCCAATTTCACGGATAGCAAGAGCGTACCAGAGACTGAATCGCGCGAGTTAATCATACGCGACGCAAGTAGGCCGACCTGGGCAAAAACAAACGATATGCGCACGCGGCCGCGCCGCGTGCGATACATATAATTGGCCAACGTATTGCTAGCGGCTCGTGAAGTATTCCAGCAAATCCGACATACATTCCAGCGCGGATCCCGGCTACTTACGTTCCGCCTCGCTGTGGAATGCAGTCACCTTGTGGCAGGTGTACGGTGTACCGAACGTCCTCAAACATTTCAACCTCCTACTTTCCCCGATTTGAATTCAAATGCGTCTTCGTTGCGGCAAGTGGGAGCAACGGGATCTGGCTGAACCAGTCGTTTCGGGATTGGTCTTCCTTCGTTGTACCATCGAAGCACTGAAACATTGATTATTGTTTGATATCTGATTTTTAGAGGTTTTTGATATTAAAAGAAATAAGATTGATTGGATATTCATCCTTAATTAATGAACTGTGCATAGTTATGCAAGTTCGTATTTTTATGAATGCACCCATATGAAAGAATACGGCATAAACAGAGAGAGATTGACACGTTATATAGCTTTCAATAAGAGAACTACTACGACGAATAGTGGGGTTAGTGGCCTTGAACGGTCAAATATTTTTCACTGCCTATTCACACTTAACTCCGCACTTCTCCTGCATAACACAATACAATACCCTACATCATAACAACTTAAACTAAATTACAATAATGGAGTACAATATAACAACAACAAAACTACATTATAATACTAATAATAAACCTATAAGAATACATATATCTAATTTCACGGTTCATCTTCTTTTATTTCATCAGTCAGAATCAGCTTGCTTTTTCATAATCTTATATGATAACACCTTTTGCATCCTGGTGACGAATGGTTATCTGTATACTATTACTATAAATTATAATCGTCCTATGTAGCACAAAAGTATTACAGTAATCGTCCTAAATGTACCTCAGGTGAATACTTCAACTTGCATAGAAGCAATTTGGATAGGCAACCAATGATCTATTGAAGAAAATAAATGAAAAAAACCAATGGAATGGAATAATTTTAGGTTAGATATACACGAATACGAATCGAACTAACGGGTCCATGGAGCTCGTTTACGCGACCTCTGGGCGGTCATCTCGTGGTTAAATGCGCGAGAGGCTTTCTCCGTGGATCGGAATGCGGCCTCTCCCTCTGACCGGCTCTCTGACTTGCTTCGAGGATAGCCATGGAGCTGTACGTCGGCTTCCAGGTTCGCTCTTTACTGATTCTAGTTTCCCCATGGCTACATGCCGGAAAATCGGATACCGGTTACTTCTTTCTCGAAATATAGTTGGTAAAGTTCATATTTCTAACCTATCAACAGTTCAATGTAAACAGATCTTACGCCGCACGTGTGTTGGATTTTGTACAATTTTCTGGATAACAAGTGTCTGACTAAAGGACTGAAAGTGTTTGATGATGAAGTTTTTTTCTATTGATTAAAAATTTCTTAATTCGTGTACTCATTCTATCTATTATTCTTAATTCTATACCGAAATGATAAGTGTTTGGAAATTTTGAAATTGAAATTCCGAAGAAGCTTCTGATTAAATTTAACGTTCAATGGATTAAAAATTATGTACTTCCAACTTTCATGTTTGTTTGGAGATGACGAAATATTAGAAAATCTGAAAAGAAATGAATTTTATAATTCAGTAAGCATTTGTTATGAGCTGCGGTCAGAAGTAAAGTAGTTTTCCATAATTGAAATCAGAGGCTGTGTAGAAATATGTGCAACTGATACTCCAATAATCTTAGATTGCAAAATGTAGCCTCGCTGGTGACTCAGTAATTAAGCATTTCCAGAGCGATAACTAGCGAAAAATTATCCACGCGTAGAGCATTTCGATTAGAGATCAACTACATACTGCGACATGATACCGTACACACATGCGGACAGATAATTTGGTCGGTAATTTAGTTAGATACTGAACAAAAAGGGTTGTATGTATCTCTAGATTATTTGACTCCTGCATTCTTGAATCCTGATATCTTCGAAATATTTCACTCTAGGATTATGTACTTTGACTTTCTTCGATTTTGGATTTTTTGAGCTTTTGGATCTTTAGACTATTTATTCCTATTTTCCCTTTAAAACTGGAATTATGGTGCCTACACTTTCAAATATTTCGAATTTTAGACTATTTATTTTGGTTCTTAGAATTTTCTCAAATTCCAATTTCCTAGAAAGAATTTATAACTTCTCAAAACGTCGATACCATTTGGTAACAAACTTTTACCAGGCATAGAGCGCAAGACCTGTTTGCCAGTCTGTACGCAGCCTAAGGCGCGAATGAACACCACTCGATCAAGCTGTAGACCGCCGCGTGCCTGAACAGCTCGCTTTCCATTCCGATAGAGAGGTTTTGCTCATGCTGTTACAAGTTAAAATGTACAGGCTCTGGTATAAACAGCAGATCTAATTTGCGCTTGACGGGCACGTTTACTACGCGAGTAATCGAAGTTGAATGAAATTTAGTTTTCGTTCGAAGGATACCTCTCCCGATGGATCGACGATATCAGAATACTGATTTGCCTCGAAGGCTGAATTGCATAAATTTTTCGCGATCAGAAACGCAAACTCGTTGAGCAAGTAGAGTTTCGCGGCTGATCGTTGCCTTCTTTTACTTCATCGGCCGAACTCACGTCGCTTTTCCATAATCGTCGTAAGCATCTTGTGCTTTCTGCATCCTAATGGCCAATGGTTATATTATTTTTAATAATACAATCTTGTTATCAAAGATAGACGATTGTTTTGAAAAATATTTTAATATCATTTTTGTTAACATCACGTTGTAGAATCGGATAAAAGGATTTGGACAGTCTGTGAGATGAGTTGGTAACCTTGGTGACAACAAATACGACTTCCAAATTTGAACATGCGACATATAGGTCAAGGTCATTATAGAGATTATATTCATACAGATGTGAACTAGGAGATTTTTTTAGATATTCCAATTTGTACGCGAGATTATAGACCATGTTATCATTTAGATAATAATCAATTAATAAAAACGTTGAGTAGCCAAATATTAATCAGGCATAACAGCAGAGAAAAATATTCATAACTGTACAAATATGTTCTATTCTCTTCTATCTAAGATTATTTACAAACATGTAATGTAAACACAATAATACTACCAAAATATTCCCAATATAATGCTATACTACGATATCTGTCCATTTGCTTAGTCCTTCCCTAGATCCATTCTTACATAAAATGAGCGATTAAAAGCTCGAACTCATTTTTAGTTATCTCAATCATGTTCACAGAATTCGAGACAAATTGGTGACCTGAATGTCATGCAGTCTCCCTGTCAGAGGGAGCCAGAGAGCGCAGGAAGAAACATCAGGCCGCGGCGCCGCGCGCGCCTGAGGTACAGTGCCGCGATGCACCAGGAGAAGGGGCATAGAAGCAGGTATTCAGGCGAACTCGCAGGCAGCCTTAAGAAAGCAGGCAGTCGGTAATATGGCGGGGGGTAAACGTAAGGGGCCGTGCGAGAGCGTAAAGTGAGTTTTCGCTCGCGGCTGCTTTGCAATGCCAGGCAGTTGAGGTGAGTCGAGTCGAACAGAGCCTAGCCGAGCTTCTTGGAGTCAGTCTGGTACGTGGCCCCGTCGCATCCTTCTCGACCGCTGTGGTATCTTTGTGTGTATAGCTACCACCTGTCGAAACTGTACGATCTTATCGTGCATCGTCGCAATTGACCGCCCAATATCGAAATGGCTACGTCCTAAAGTCACGTCTTCCAACTATCCAGTGAATCATCGTGGTTCACCGATCGCGCGGACAGACGTTTACTTTTCTTGCGTCTCGGCAATAGCTGGAGTGGAATCACTCGTACGATCTTGTTGTTTCTTTCTTTGAACGACGATGACGCCGCCTCAGAGATGCGTCGTCTGAGATTTACGGACTTCTTGGTGCAGTGATTTTGTGTGTGCGTGACCGAAGCATCAGCTGGAAATTTCCCGGACAATTCAACAGGTAGGAAGATTGTATTGTCGGATCTTTTTTGATGGTTCAGTGAAGCGATTGCACGGTTCGTGTACGGATCTTTCCAATTTTGTCCCTGAAATATTATTTCGTTAACTATTATGATATACATATAAAGTTATATTAATAGTTTACAAACCTGAGATTAGACAGAAAGTTATTAATGTGATCGTTAAAAGAAATCGAATGTGTGTGCATGCTTGTCGAGAATTAGATGAAAATTAAATCGGTCCGAAGAGAATAAGTCAATATAATGTTTAGGATAATTTCGAGGGAATTTGATCCAGTAATAACATTCAGCTTGAAGAGCTATCAATAATCGTTCAATCGATCCACCACGAAGGACATTTTGTTTTTTCCTTTTTTTATCGTCGCGCTCTTCCTGCACCATCCACCACATTGTATTTGTATTCCTCCCTGCGTATTCTACGGTAATATCGTGTGTATGGCGTAACAGCTCATTATACATAGAATGCTAGTGAGAGGAAGTTTAATGGCAGCAACGTCATCGGCGTACCTCGCCTCTTCGTTTTTCTTAATTATGCCTGAAGAAATTGCGCCTCTCTCATCTGCATAATTCTGCATTGTAAGCTCGTTCATTTATCCTCCTACATCCTGATTATGCGCATTCGTTTCGTTCTAACCTGTTTTCGAGGCAGCATTGTCGACATAACCCATTATTATTATCTGTCGTGTTTACGTATTTCTTCACGGATTCTTGGTACTCGATGAAAGTCTTTTCCTTGGTCATTGCATTCCTTTCTCGAAATTCGTCATTCCACCTCATCATATCGCCTCTATCATGCGACATAATACTGTCGGATCGCGTAATATCTTTCCAGGTGAAAACGCGACTAGACAGTGAGAACGAAACAAAAACTGAATGAGTGTCCGCTGGAACCGTAGCTTGTTTTCTAAGACACGTCAAGGAGAATGGCGCGATGGTATACTCTTTATAACTCCGTAGTTTCGCTTACTCCCGCGATCGCGCCACAAATTTTCTTTTCTTGCTCTCTCTCGAGAGATCTCGCATCAATGAGAACGATCAGTCACTGCGACGTACATACTTAGAAACGCTACCATTTTCTCTGGAGTAATCTGAGAAATATTTCTTCTCCTGCTATTGTTTTTTTGTTTCGCTTGACCTGTTTTGGTATTCCACGATTTATCAAAATTTTGTACATATAAGTTTTACAACCATCCATATTTCATTCTTCTTTCAACTATTTCTTTTTTTCTTGCTTATGTATAGTTTTGTACGATTGTAAACAGAATTGTGAGTAATTTCTTGGAGGAGACTAGCGAAACAATATGCAGCCGTGAGATCATGTAGGAACGCAGAATGTAAACACAGGAATTCGAGAAAGTTTAGCTGCGCAAATTGTTGAGTGCGCAGTTACCTCGCTAGAAAAATATAGTGTTTACAGTTCTTGTTAGCAAAAAATCTACTGTATATGTTTTGGAATTCCGAAACGTTCCAGCTAGCCTCGATAAAAATTCCTCTTTCAATTGTCGTATTAATTATCATCCATAATTTATAACATCTTTAGTTTATGTTTTCGTTTACTTAGGAATTTGAAACAAAATTTGTTTTAATCTCCTTTATATCAGATGTTTTTATCATGATTACACACCAATTAATATTCAATATCTTCTCATCAATTCGTAAATTTTTCCAAAGAGGGTTGGCATGAGAGCACGAAAGAAGCTAAAAAAAGTGTCTCAAGAGCACATGAAATCGATCGACGGCATTTAGATCGCAAACCAGTAAAAGAGAGACTACATCGCAGTTAAGGACAACGTCATCGGTGTTCACTGGAATGTCAACTCGTTTTCCACGAGCCGTCCAAGGATCGTTTTCCCTACGTACCTGCCTCCTTTCCCTTCATGAGTCTTCTGGCTTCATGATTCTGTTCTTACCTCACCTTCCTGCATTCGATGGCTACACGAGTCAAAACTCCACGCACAAGTGAGCTGTTCATCGGCACCGATTGAGATCACCGTACCATCAACTGAAATATTAATCAATCCTTCCTTTTTGTACCTAAAAAGATTACATTTTCAATAACTCGATGTATCAATAATCAGTTTCACCTTCCAACATAAACATTTAAGTATAATAAGTTGTAATATTTATTTATATTACATTAATATTATAAAATGGTTGGTTATAGAGGAACATAGTGGTGTAAGTCAGTTCATTGTTTTTTTTATAAAATTCTGTTCTGCTTTTATCAATACAAAGATTCATGTTATATTTGTTCATATTATGAAAACGTATTGCGACAAAGAATAAAATTGTACCTTCGTTAATTCTAGAACTAAATATGGTAGGATAATACTTTATAGAGTCAAGATGTGTGACTAAATACAAATTCTTTTGAAACATCACCATGATCCTCAGCTCGCCAAATAGCATCCATGTTTACGAAAACACGAATGGAATGTCGAGTCATACAAGTCACCATTAGCATGTCCCAAAGATCCCAAGAACCGTTGGTTTCTCGGAATTAATGACCAACAAATTTCGAAAGCAACCTGTGAGCTCTACCTGTGATGAGATAATTTCTATTTTTGCCAATGTCAGAATTCGTAGACTCCGGATCTGAAACAGAAAATAAAAGTGAGTTCCATTGAACAACGAGACGCGTATACCTTACGCTATTCGCGATTGCATAACGGCCGCGAATCGTTTAAAAACAAGTGAAAAAGCATGTCGCGTTGGAGATCGAGATTCCGCAGAATGTCAGGTTTCCACGAGGCGAGAAAAAAGTACCCCATACGCGAGTTTTGCAAGTCGGTTTCCTCCCATTCCTTTTGAACCCTCCTTCCTCTTCCCTTCTCCAATGTCGTATCCTCCCACTAGCAGCGCTCATCTCTGCGAGTGAATTGCACCTTCAAAGTAGGAGCTGCGTACTTCGTCGGTGAGGCCATCCTGAGGCCATTCTGAGGCCACGCTGAGGCTACATTGAGATTCCTCAGAAGGAGATCCGCTCTCGAGTGTCGCAATGTGCGTAGAAACGGTTGTCGTAATCTTTAACGAATATATTGATTTTCATTATCTTACAGGTGCTCGATAGTTTATCTTTTTATCCTGTTTTTCGTAATACATACTTCTTAGTAGATGTTTCAACTATACTTTTTTATCATAATTTATGAACTCCGATTTAAGGTGTACCGAATTTGCGATTTTTTATATGACTTTTTGACAAGTAGAATTAAAAAACAGTATTTTTAAAGTGCAAAGATTATTAATGTCAAAGTTACACATATAAAGTTTGTCCATATTTTATAATTTATTAGTTTTTTCATCGTATAATAAAAAAATGGGTTATATATTTGAGACATTCTAAATCGAAGTTCAATTAAATACTAAATATACTTTGATCTTTCATCAATCGACAATGCTTTTGTTAATGATGATTCATTGATGTTTAGTTTGTTTCACTAGAATAATTTACATACTCACTTTCAAACCTAAAAATAACAGGAAACACATTAAACAAAATGTTATTACCCAACATATAGCTGCGATTACCATTTATTGCGTCGTTGCTAGAAATTTTCATCACCTGCATACAAATATTTTTATCTTCATTTTATTGTCTTGTTATTATCTTGTTACAAAATTAGTCTAGGGAAATGATATCTCTTTGCAGTTCAATTTTTCCAGAAGGTTATGTCCTCGGCTCGTTAAGTTTCGTACACCTCGCTCGACGGCTCCTTATAATTATTTCTTCCATTTATCTCGATGCGCAATGTGCACGTGTCCTTCGTCTTTGTCCCTTCGTTTCTCACAACTGGCTATTCGAGTTCACGCTTCCTCCTTTGTTCCTCGAGATTCCTTATATTCCTTATATAAATATAGAAGTATCTCGAGATTCCTTCGAACTATTTCAGAAACTATCGCTGTTGTAACTTGAATTAAAAAGATTATGTTATAGGATTTCATATTTTATTTTAAATAATTTCAATTATAAAAGCCATTATAGTTAATTACCATACAAAAGTTTTAGTCATATATAATGGTTACGTACTCGTAACCAGGCATTTAAAGATTAATACCTTTTGATCATCTAATTTCTTGAAAAATCTCTTTAAAATATAGTGATCACTGTCCTTAATGCAAATAACACTAATTTAAACGATAGTCTAACTCCATTTCATTGGAATTTTTCGTAAAAAATTTAAAAACTGTTATTTTTTGTCCCTGATTTGTTCTGCTTGCAGGAACTTGTGCCGCCATTTTTTATCGTCTGAGCACGCTCATATCTTCTGTCCTTGTCTATCTTACACGCTTATGTCCTTTCCCATTAGAGTGAAAGAGAAAGAAAGAGAGAAATATTTTGCGTGCGAATTCACGATTCGTTCTTTCAATCGGGAACCGTTATTCTTTTCTGTAACAATCATGGGTTATTTGCGGTTTTCCACTTAATCACGATGTTTTCGAAAAAGGGAAGCACAAACAGAGAAAATGACACGTTCCATTTGACACGTTGCAATTCGATCTACCGGTTCCTCGTTGATTCTTGTTATTATATCATTTGAGATAGAAGCAAAGGTTAACACATTCCTGCGTGATGATGAATGCGCAAAAGATAAATATTCTACCACGGTACCGATCATCAGATCGTCGGAATTTATGTTCCTGGTTTATGATCGTGTAATTTACGACAGTAAATTAACTCTCTCGCGGGCTTAGCTTTTTTCTGAAGAAGCAATAGTTTTAATATAAAGCATAGTAAACAAATCATTTCTATCTTTATTTTAGAAAAATAACACTTTGTACTATTCATATTAGAGAAAAAAGATTAATATAATAACCGAGTTAAAAAATTATAATTTACTAGTTTTTATTTAGGAAACGAAAGATTAATAAAATTTAATCTTCTAAAGTTATATTAATTATAAGATTAACTCGATAAAATTTAACCTTTCGGTTCCTACGATTACCTGTACGTGATTACACGCTTCAGAAAGCTCACATGTGTGTTTTTAATAAGTGGAAATATAATTACTATTTCTTTTAAAAGAAATTACTGATTTTTAATTTAAATTTCCAAAAACCGCTTGTCTCGATATTCCACTTACCTTTCAAATGAAGTAATTACGTAAATCTTGTTATCTACAAGTATCTTCTTAAAAACTATTAACTGAAACCATTAATTAATATCAAATTACCACTTTTAAAAATACACTTTTGGGCAAGAAAAATTTTGATATTGGTACTTTCTGTGATAGTAGTTAATTTACATGGAATGCGGTATCGCGTAATAATTTATTCGATATTGGCCTATCAAGTTGTCGAGGAACAAGTTTGCACGAGCTTCAAAAACTGGCCTTGACTTCGCATATACTCATATACCCATAAGGGGCTCTAACTTTTAACGTAGCCTAGCGTTATAAAGCAAAACAACCCACGAAAAAAATTACGTTGTTGAAACTTCCGTACTCGTATTTGTTGGTAAAAGTGAAATGTTTAACAAAATCGACAAACGAACCAAGAAATTCCTCTCTTTTTTCAGATTATTGGCCTCACTGAGGCGGAAGGAGTTAATCAACGAGGGGTGCCCATGCCGAGCGTCAGGAAAAATCAGCTGGAGGGTCTTAGGAGTGCGAGAGGAAAATTCTCAGAGGGACCAGCCGCGTGGAATTCAAGGAAAACGTCGAGGTTGTGAGCGCACCGGCACGTTTAATCTTGAAAATGTCATCGAATACGTGTTCCGTGATTATGTCAGGACTGATTCTACTGGTATTAGCAGTGGTATCATTCAGAGAAGTGCAAGGACACGTCGCCTTGACTTTTCCACAGGCGAGGAAATATGACTTGGATTTTCTGGACAATGCCAGGACACCTGGTCCATGTGGAATGCCTCGTGGTGAGTATTTCTTTTCGTTGCACAATTATCATATAGTGATAGCCTACAAATGAAAAACTGAATTTGTGAAGTATGTACATACCTGCAATTTATGGCCATACTAACATGAAGAGAATAACGTGAAGGTGTATTTTTGTGGTATGAAATATGATATGATAGATTGGTTTGCCTTCTTGGAGCATTAGTTATAGTGGAGATATTAGTTTGTTATGAAGTTAAATTGCTGTATCATTAGAATGGTGTAACAGTTGGTAGACTGATAGTAGTTTGTTAAGATTCTGAAATTAATTAGCCAATTAGAGTTACTTAAAGGTATCTCCACGATTGAGTTTAAATGCAGTCGTGTAATCTTCGTTTTAGGTAATTATGCAATAAAATCCAATTATGCAATAAAAAATAGTATCATATTTTATGTCATACCTAAGGAAGTGATCTCAGTATTTATAAGAGAATTACCTATTACGCGAAGAGTACAATTATCAATTTATGACACAAATTACTGAATGGCTTAATAATATATCATTCTGCAATATAACATTCTAAAAAAAGTCAATCTTGTCTAGCCAGGAAACATGTAACCCGTCCAAAGATTCTGATTTCCTGACAAAGGCTCGAAACGGCAAACAACTGCAAAAAAGAGAATCGTAGGGTATCATTGGAAACACCCAGTGTCCCTTTCTTTGAAACTTTGACCTGTCCGCTGTGACAAAGAAACTGAGGAGAAACAAATCGCACCCCAACGCATAGAGAAAGCAAGTTCGTGAAATCTGAAACGGTGCAGAGCATCGTGTCGCGCTGCATAGAAAAATAAGAACGACGAATGTAGTAATTCGATAGTATTACTGACGAAGCGAGTTGTCCGGATGCTGTGGCCCGGCTGTGCGTCACACGACCCACGGACCAAAAAAAGGTACGCGTGAAATTTTCGCGGTCAATTCAAGGACGATGACGTCGTCGGTTGACAATATGAAATATGACGATATAGTTACGAGGGATGGGAAGAAGTGATAAGAGGATTCTATGGGAAAACGACATTAACACGATGATACGTCCCGGTGGGGATAGCCCGCTAGTCTGATTCGAAGCGACTTTCACCGACTCGCAACGAAGGGAACTCGAACCTCGGCCATTACCTTCCACGTCTTGCCTCTACGCTGCAGTCGCACGTACACGTACCTTTTTTTCTTCTTGCGAGCTCTCGCGTAGTCGCGGGGAATACGTGAACTTTAAATGCACGCGTCGTATCGGATAGAAGGACTGCTGGAAAAGGGGCATACCTAGGCTTGAGAAAATTATCGGTAGTCTTTCTATCGAATTCTAAATGTAGAAAGATCCTTAATATCTGGTTTGATCTATTGATTACGGTATTGTAGATGGCAGATATGTATAGTACTCAATCTTCCGGTTCATGTCAAATTACGTGTTGTATCTGAAAAATGAAGCAGATCTTATTATTCAACTTTCTACCATCGATCATCCTATTCGACATTCAAATTATGTAATTGCTTCGGTTGTAAAAAAGTAGAAAGTGCTGATCATAAGGATTTCGGTTTATTATTCCTACTGAGAACACTATTCTATCAACTATCTGCTATCAGCAATACTTTATTAATTGGTTGGAATTTTACTTCGTTAACTGACAGTTACCACTTTCATCAGTTTTTGGAGCTGATTTCCTAGAATGAATCTTTAAAAGGAAGAAATGTGTTAGATATACATGTATATTTAACAGAGAAAAGAGATATGTACTTAAGATTTCTTAGAAATATACCTCATTGATATGTAGTCAGATAGCAAAGCACTATTGTTTGTAATTATGTTATTTCATAATTTTCCCATCCATCCTAAACAAATATCACGGATTCGTTACATGCCAACAATACTTTTACATCACCCGACATATAAATTATTCCTATATAACATTTCCTTTGAACATTTCGTTCTTCTCTAAACAGTTACCTGTGCTAATTCGGATCGACAGTATTTCCAAACTCCTACATGAATGCATATAAACGCATAACAGTGTCGTGAACGCTGTCACGAGTATTAATTTTTGTATATCCCACCAAATCGGACATAGTTGCGTCGATGTCGTTCCACAATTTAATCGCTCGACTGTTAGTTCTCAACAAGAGGAACGCGAGCTTTCTTTTCGGAGGCAGGTAGGGAAAAAAGGTAGTACTCCATAAAAGGAAGGATCGGTGGCGGAACGCGAACTGCTGCCCGTCCGCTTCCGGAAATTAATTGTACATCGTGCCACTCTCGATTATTTCCGGAAACCCAGTCTCGATACGATACGATACTACCGTAGATTACCATCTTAGCTTCAAGCGAATTGAAAATGTGAAATCGCTGGTTGAGTTGAAATTCATTTTCATAACAACCGATACGATTACTGATATAAACGGATATTCGCCTTCATGTTAGTTTCCTTTCCCACCTTATAATTGATTTTTTGCAATCTTTTGATGATAAAAATGATTTATGAAAACAAATTGCTTGCGTGGAGTACGTACTGTAATTAAATAAAACGAATCCCTAAAATATTGACCATACCTTAATTATATGAATAAATTTGTATTATATGTTGAAAAGGAGAAACAATATGAGAATATACCTGAATGTATTATAAAGTTCTTCATCTATACTTATTACACCATAAAATAATAAGAAATAGAAAATGCTTATGAGGATGTGATTTTTCTCTTTCTTTTTTTTATTTCCTATCTGGGCGTGGATAAGGATATTCGCACGCAAGATTTCGCTGAACTTGTATCCATGCATGTTTCCGGTGATTGTGATGAATTATCGTGTCTCGTTACTCTAATGAATATTAACTTTTCATTGTTCGTAAGGTCTCTCGTCTAAATCGATGAGCCTGAGAAATTGCAAGTTTCCGTATCTCGACGTAATTTAACGCGCGGCGAGCGATCGTGAAAATTTGTATAGAATAGCGCGCGCAATGTTGCATAATGCGTTCATTTTATGTTGCAGGCGATATTAAAACTACTTTACTGTCTGGGAGTAACTTTAACGTCACGTGGCATCTGGCTTATCCTCATCGAGTAAGTAGAAAAATTTATTATAACTTAACTTGGTTAATTATATATAGCAAGGAGAAAAAGATTATAATAGCAACAATATTTCCTATATAATGAGCTCTTCGTTCGTTGCGTTTTAAAACAACTTTTGCCCCGATAATAATTGAATTTTATTAGCCCGCGATAAAAACTGTTGCCGCGAGACCAGTCGGTAATTTCTGCATGTGTGGTTTTTACGCGCTTAGTATCTCATACTATGCGTGGCCGCAGAGCAAAAGCCTAAGAAACACATAAGCACTAACAGCTGTTCAAAGAAAAAAAGAAAGATGTATGAACAGTTACGCGAGAGCTGAATAAAATCATACCATAGTTTATTATAATTCATATTACATGAACTTTCTCCAATATGGAAACTTTCTGCATCCATCTTTCAATTGGCCTGGTTACGGTCTTGATTGTTCACGTGCCGTGATTGGGAGGAATTTGCACGTATTTGATCAATCTGATTGCCTGTTATTTAACTGATTATAGCCCTTCACCACCAATGAGTCATTGGCCATATTGCTGCAATTAGAGCACTCAATAAACTTTATAATTACTTAACTAGCATATTTTCAATGTGAAGACGCGATTATGATTCAGTCCTATGGAAAGCACATGAGAAAAATTATATAACGTTTCGTATCATGATTCCTTTAATACTGTTGGGTAGAGATATACTGAAAGATTGCAGGATTAATAATGCTTCATAAACTACTTGAGAAGAGTTCCGTAAATCCTGGATGACCAAAAATGATCATCCTTGTGCGATTGACGTCGCTTGAGGCGTTACTAATCAACCAATCAGCCACATTTTTATTCTACTGTCGCTCTTCATATGAAACTCTTATTTCCCGTCTATATACAGTCGGATACAAAAATAAGCAGACATGTAGCGAAAGCAGATATCAATGAAGTTTTGTTAAATACGATTTGTTTACATAAGAATATAAATATTAACTTCAGTTATTTGTTAAATAATCTATATATTAAAAGAAATACGTAAATAAAACTTAAGTACATAGAACTGATATTATTAGGTTGGCAACTAAGTGATTGCAGATTTTTTCATTAGGTGGTAATGATACCCACGATGATACCCATGATTATAGGTGGGTACCTAATGAAAAAATCCACAATCAGTTAGTTGCCAACCCAATAGTTCCATTAAACTGCATTGATACCTACTTCCGCTATCTCTCCACTTATTTTTGTCCCCAACTGTATATTGACATAAGTCTTCGATCAACGACAAATCAAAGTTTCCTGGACTCCGAGTAAGAGAAGTCACAGTAACAGACGAAACTTAAGGCACGTTCATAAACCAGGCACAATGGCCGACTGACGCAGTTGGAAATTCATATTCTTCACGACGCGTCGCACTACCTAAGTCATCGTAAAAGACATCACGAATTTGTCCGCACGTGGTCTATACGAAAGGGAAAGAAAAGACAGAGGCAGAGGGCAGCCTACGCTTGCACGTCGTCGCTCAAGGTGACGCTCGTTGAATAATTCACAAGCGAAGCTTCGTATACGTTCGACGTGGTTCGTGTATACCTTACGTAGATAGATAGGTCGGAAAGAAGGTGGTAAGGGATATAAATCGCTTTGCATGTGAACATGTACGCGAGAGAGTAGCTTGTGCTCGGTGGAACACATCGGTATGTCGGGTACCGTAACTCGACTGTTGCCAATGACTCGGATCGAAGCCAAAGCTCTCAGATCCGTTGCTGGAAAAGCAGTTGAACCGTGGACCATCGCATTGGCTTTTACATAAATCAAACGCTGCATTATGACTGGGAAATGTATAATAGAGAGCTGAAAAGATGACAAGCAAAGGAATGTGGGTCTGATTGGTTATTTCTTTGTAGACTCAGCACAAAACAGCAACGTAAAGATAAACACGTGTATTGACCGAAAGTGTCACATAAAACAATATGGCAAGACGTAACTGACGGTGAGCAATAAGGAGCAGTAGTACCTCCTTTGCCCCTATGCCGTCCCGTTAGGCTTCTTTCAAGTTCAAAATAATGAATTATTTATGCATAAAGTCCTTTCATACTGACCTTAATATTTTCGCTCTATTATACTATACTGTATGTACGTATACGTATACTATGTATGTGGATTAGTAGATTTACTTCATTATATGTATTAAGTTGTATATGAAATGATTGAATTTGGCGGACAAATATCAGAAATTAAATATTGTCTTGTCGTCAATTATCAATTATCTTAAAAAGGAAATGATTTGTTATAAATCACGTGTATTTCTATAAATTTAGGATAATGAAACTACGTAACTAATCATCAGAAATACAGACATTACCTTAATTACTTTAGTACTACCTGCTATTAAAATTTGATTTCGAAAGATATTCAATATGTACCACCCGAATACATATTAATTGTTTTCTTGTAGAAACTTCAAGGTTAGGTACACCACATTTTTTAAGTTTACGTCTATATGATATATCTGTTAAAATATTTTTACGAATATCTGAAAGGAATATCTGGATTTCATATTTAAATAATTTCGAAGTAACGTAATTGCAAACTTATCTCGAAAATTATGTATTTTAAAACTGCCTTTCGCATCGTATATCAGATCTCGTAATCAACTTCATAGCAATATAAATACGTACGCATATTTCCTATACAATCATCGTTGTGATTTCTTTTTCTGAACAACTGGTTTTAGATGGGGCAGCCATAAACTTAAATGCCTCGCAAATTCTATCCGTGAAAATATCCGTGGTACGAGAAAAATTCGACAATAACGTTGCAACCGCTGCAGGTGTGTACCGTGCGAAGCAGTACCACTTCGCAAAGCTGTCTCTTCCCTTTCTACTTCTCCTTTCGAGTGCTGGCATAATCGCGCGCTGTTGGAAAACATTTCAAACTCTTCAGTGTAGATATTCAAAGAAACTTTCATCAAAAATGACAAGCATCTCTTGTGAACGGATATTCTATCCGCCGGCAAAACATTGTAAACTTTATAATATTTAAAATAACATATTACAATATGTGAAGAAATTTGTAAAAACAGGGAGAAACATAAATGAGTCATATGAAAGCCACACTAATAAATAGACTGCGGATTTCTATGCAATTTTATACTTCTATGAACGTAGTTGAAGAAATGGAATCTAAATAGAAATCTGCTTTTTATTAAATGTATTTGTCATCTACTAAATGTTATAACAAATATTCTACTTTGGATTTTTTCTATATTTTTATACATGTATACCATTTCCAAATTTCCTATAAATACAGAAAAATCCGCAATTTACTAATCGACTTCATTAATCTATTTTCCTAGGTTTTAAAAAATTAAATATCTTATTTCAAATACTTTATCATCGTACCGTGAAATTATTACTTTATTCAAATCCTAGACTTCATCGTTAGGAATCAACGTTAATCGATATTTGAATTTAGAATAGAGGAAAAAATAACAAGTTTTACAGGACATTTACAGAAATTAAGAAGAATACTAAAAAAAAAAAAATTAAAGAATACCGATCATATACTTATATGGGTAGCAAACTTGAGAAATTTTTAAAGATTAGAGTCGACCAATTTGTCTTTGTATTAAATTTCATGAAAACACGTTTATGAGATTACCGACCGATATTGGTGAAAAATTAACGATTGAATTTTCATGCTATGACGATGCAAAGAATGCGGTTAATAATTAGAAAACGTGGCACGTAGAAGAAAACGCAATGTTGTTCTTGGGTAAGAGTTGACTAATAACGGTTCTTTGCCTCCTCGTATCTTTATACAGGTGTCAGATTGACATCGGCAATCATTAAATTAATGCTCGTGTCATTACGTCGTTACCTACTGCGAAACGATGATCTCCTGCGGCGACATCTCTCTCTCTCTCTTCCTACTTCCAATTCGGTGGCCGTTTTCATGAAACGGCCGGTTTTATAACGGTGACGTTGCCAGCTACGCTAAGAAAGCGTTAACTAAAGCTGTTAATAATATTTTTTACTTTTTATTTTTTGGACATGAGCAATGGAATAGAAGGCCGGTTTCTATGTCACGGATCTGTGATAAGCTCGTTCGATACCGCTATCCGCGCGTACGATCGATGTCTCAACGTCCTCTTGACCGTTTCTCGCTTCCGACACGGTCATAGCGAAAGAAACTGTCCGGAAGTTCACGCATTGGAACTGAAATAATATTGCTTATTATATACCTACGTTACCAAACGTAAATTAAACGAGATTAACCTAATTATTTGAAATTTTTGTTACTTACCTCTGTATTTAAGTCTGTTATTATAATGTTTTGTTATTTATTATTTACCGAACTCTATATTATACATTTTTATTATTTACTATCTTAAGATCGTTATTTTTAAGATTTCCATATCTTGAATATCTACCATCACACATTTGAAATATTATAATTATTGATTTTAGGGTGGATTTCGACTGCAAATACTGGATGCCCTTGACAGACCATTGATTGATCTAACTCCTGTGACAAAAAATAGCGAGTTCGTAGAAGACGATGCCACGTAAGTGAAAATTGTTATCCGATCCTTTCTTTTCTGCTTTGATAATACTCTCGGTACTTAAGAAATAAATTATTGTTTTTTAGGGCACAGAGTTATGCCGTACAATTACCTCAGAATTTCACGTGTACAGACTGCACGATTCGGCTTCTCCGAGAAGCTGAAGAATGGGGCACGAGTTATAGATTTTGGTCTTGCGCCGATATCAATGTAAGAATAATAACAATAAGTATTAAGTAATAACAGAAAATGGTAGAACGCAATTTGTAAAACAATTTTTCCGGTTACCTGCATCGCGATCGCTGATACCTTATAATTTATACCCGTTAGATCATCGACAGAAAGTCTTACAGAGAGGATTGCAGCGGTCACGGTCGATATCTGGTAGGTCGATGCAGGTGTGATCGACTGTATCACGGTACAAGGTGTGAATTTAAGGAGGAATGCCTGGATGACTCGGATTGCGGTATTCAGGGCACGTGCATTGACAATGGCGGCACGACCGCACCCACCAAGCACTGCTATTGCAATATTGGTTGGTTTGGACCGGGTTGCGCGAAGAGTAAGTTTAATTAAATCACAATTTGGTACCTTCTCCAGAAGTCATTCAGATTGGAGTAACTTTCTTGTACTATAGTTTCCAAATTATTATATTTGTATCATTTGTGACTTACCTGTTAAAAAATAAAAATAGAACAGAATATACAATATTAATTCTTGAGATATAAAACATAAATAAATTTCAAGTAAGAAGTAAATATAATGATACTTTCTAGAATCTCCGATCAAAACCATCGACGTAGAATTGGACGCATATACAGTGAAAAAGTTCTCTGACAATTTTACCTTCTATTGGCGGATATTGAAGGAAAGCAAAGAACTCGAGGGCATTATGGTGGTAAATGGTACCAGCTGGGTTGCTGTTGGATGGCGACCAAATGACCTGACACCGATGTGTCGCGCCTTTCCTGAAATTCAGGAACGTCCAAAGGATGAACCGCTTCCACAACCGGAACCAAAATCAGAGCCGGAACCAGAGTCAGAACCGAAAGCCCTACCCAAACCGGAACCTGAACCTGAACCTGAACCTGAGTCTGGAACTGAAAGGTCAGGTACCAAGAGAAGATCGGCTAAAGCTCATGATGTGACTTCATTGGCTTCAACTCCTCGATCTGACGTCGATGTGACGGTGCAAACTAGTGTGACATATCGCGTCAGCACGAAGCAAGGTGAGATTCGAGTTAACTTATACTTGTGTACTTCAGTTTCTTGAATTTATATACAAATAATGTTGAATGATATACTTTATCTTCATATAGGACGCAAAAAGAGATCACCGGAGTCTACAGGAATTTCTGTGAATGGTATGTATCAATACTTAACTCAGATATAGAACAAGAGACTCCTGCTTTCCGTATTTATATAGTAACAACATGTAGTATGCTTCCCAATGAGTAGTAGAGCATTTGGCGTCCCTTTTTTATATTTGAGACACTACGCACGAGGTGGTGGTCTGTAAACAATAAGCAGTAGGTAGTTGGCACGACGATCGATGCTTTCTTGCACAGGGGAGCCCGTCGCCGAGCCGAGCACTGTCGACAGCACCAACACCACGCCCGAACCCGTATCAGAACCAAAATCCGAACCAGAACCTATATCCGAGCCCGAACCAAGTTCAGAACCAGAAACCAAATCCAAACCTGAACCTAGCTCAGAACCAGAACCCAGCTCAGAACCAGAACCCAGCTCAGAATCAGAGCCAAAATCTGAACCAGAACCAAGCTCAAGACCAAAATCAAAATCTCAATCAAACTTAACGAACGCTGAACCAAGAACAAAAGCAGAGGCTATTTTAACTTCTGAGACACAATATGAACACAAGTCAATATCTTATCCAGAGCCTATTTCTCAAGTTAAATCGAGATCCCGAATGGGATTAAAACCAGAACCAGAGTCCAATTCTGAACCTGAACCCAAGTCTGAACCAGAACCCAAGTCTGAGCCAGAGCCAAACTCTGAACCAGAACCGAAATCCGAGCCAGAACCCAGCTCTGAACCCGAACCCAAATCCGAACCAGAACCGGAGCCGAAATCTGAACCAGAACCAAAGTCCGAACCGGAACCCAGTTCCGAAACAGAGCCAAAGTCTGAACCGGAACCCAAGTCAGAGCCGGAGACAAAGTCAGAACCAACCTCAGAGCCGGAACCGATCTTAGGTCTTAAGTCGAGTGCAACGAAAGGTAAAACAAGCTGATAAAGCATTACAACCGCTTGTCTCTCCTCGTACATACTGCACGGGCTTTATATTGTAATTAGTTAACGTTGATTCGTATCTAGGAATACCTTTTGATTTTGTGTTTTTTATTGTCTGAACTAATCTTCAGAATTTGCCTCTTAATTTAATTTTAAATACTTCTAAATGGGTGTAAAATTTCATCAACTTAATTGTCAAAAATTAGAATTGCTGGTTAAACATAATAGAACAGAAAAATATAATATAAAAAATATTTAACAAAATAGTAGATTTGGTAACACATAAAAAGATAATTTAGATTAAGTTAATGTAACGTATTCATATAATCAGTAGCGTTGATACTAACATATACATATCTAAATAACACATATAGTATAGATAATATTCATACTTTTAATTTGTACTTATTTTTTAGTACAAGCTTTCCTTGTTGCTTTCGCATAATACCCCAATAACTCCTATGTAAGTGCATTTGCACTTGAGAAAATACTGTAAAATGAATTTTTTACTAATAGCTGTACATTTTGTGATAAATATTTCAATGTTGCAACAGGGAACCCTTCGCATCACAATCATAAATTATTAATCATTATCTCAAGTTGATCATATAATCAATGAAGTTTATAGATCATTTTAATCTAATATAATATTTTATGATCAAAGCTATCCTACCTGCAGTGCACAAATACACGCCGAAACACGATTTCAACCCTATGGACTGCACAGACATTATAATAGGATCAGCACGAGGCAACAGTCACAGGATTGGCGACTATTACACTAGAGACAGGTCTACGCCAAAGAAAGACGAATATTGGGGCGGAAGAGACACTTTGACTGCTGCTATGGGCTTTGAACGTGATGGGGTTACGACCATACTTTTCAGAAGAAAATTGGTAGCTAATGAACTAACCGACCACGAAATTATTGATGGTAATATGCAAGTGATATGGGCTAAAGGACAAGAACCTGGAAAATATGTTCATCACCCACCCAGTGGCATTGAAAAAGCCAAGGTCAGTGTGAAGGACTTTTATAAGGCTGATGAACTTAAGTATCATGGTCATGGAGCACAGAGAGGAACAGTAACTTTTAATTTCTTTGGTAGGTTAAAGAAAATATATCCTTTACATGCATTAGTGACGTTATATTACAATATTGTTGATGACATTATATAGTTAATTTCGAATTAAATATAGTATTGATTAGTGATTTATAAATATCCTTAGATGAAAAAAAGAAACAAGAAATGGCTGGTGAGAGTGATGCATTAGCGCCAACTTCAAATTGCAGCGGTGAGTGGCATTATCCAAGACATTGCTCTCCTGCAAATGGTACCTGTGAATACTCTATTCAGTGGACTTACAAAGGACGAAAGGTATGTTTCTATAATAAAGACAAATCCTCTTAGTTATGATTCTATCGTATAGTTCATTAATGATTTTCTTGTAGGATCAATTATCATTTGTTATTTCCACTACTAACACGAATACTTGGACCGGCGTTGGATTCTCTGATGACGAAAAAATGGTATGCATTGAGACCATAAGTTCCTTGCACTATGCTCTAATAAAAATTATTCACCCCCTTAATATCATCAAACTTTTCATTACTAAATTATAATACTCCTTCCATTCTACAACAATGAATTTTATCCGTAAATTCTAAGTTTAAAATCGATACTTCTCTCTTCGTTATTAGTCGCAAACAGATGCGGTGTTGGGCTGGGTCGACGAGAAATCAGGTCGAGCTTTTCTCATGGATACTTGGATCAGCGGATATAATGCTCCGTTGCTTGATCCATCTCAAGATATCTATAACACAGGTGGCAGTAAAGTGGATGGTGTAACGACACTCAAGTTCTCGAGAAAACGGATAACAAAGGACAATAGAGATCTTTCTTTCACGGACGATCATTGCTTGTATATGATGTATCCAGTCAAGGGTGGTATTTTTAATGCTGTCAACAAGAAAATACGTAAACACGATGCCGTGCCTGTTGTATCCGCTGAAAGGATATGCATAAAATCTTGTGGTCTCGAAGGTTGTTGTTTTTGATTATATACATGTTATAATCACTAATTAGTAGTATTAGTATTATATTCTTTATGACATCCTTGAGAAGTTCTTGTTTGTTGTATACAAATAAATTCTAAATGATTGAATAACTCAAATTCCAGAAAGCTTCCTCAACAACATTATTTAAATACTTGTCTCACTTTTGTAGAACTCGAGGATCTTACAACGCCTGCTCCACCAAGGCTGCATTACACCGTGGAAGTGAAGCTCATAAATTTGGGAGACGGTTTTATGGCACCTACTCCCGGTAGTCCAGATTTCGAACTTATTTCAAACAGGATATCTGACAGCTTTACTCCACTTCTTGACAAATTACCAGGCTATTATCAAATTCGTCTCAGTGAATTACAAAAGTCAGTATCCTTACAATATGTGTTATTTTACTTCCGAATTTATTATATAATATTGAATATATTATTACATTTAGGAATGATGAGCAAAACGGTGTTATTGCCCGCATGGATCTGATCTTAGACAAAAACGAAGTAAAAGGCAGATCACTGAAACCTATAGATACCGGTGCAGCTGCGGAAAAGGCATTAAAAGAAGCTCTTGTCACAGGCAAAGTCGGTGCATTAAGTGTGGATCCACAGTATTTGATCATTAGAGCTCCTCGAGGTAATGTGAAATTTTTTGCTATTATTAACCTTCAGAATAAAAACATATAGTCTCTTCTCTTTAATAAGATTTTCAAGAATCACCGTTAATTGTCGGTCAAAAAAATTCAAGCCAGTCATTAAACATTTAAATTCTAAAAATACTCGGCTTAAAACAATAATTTACAACCAATTAAGTTTTTCTGCAATATAGTATTTAATTCTATATCATATCTTTTTCCTTGATCCAGGAAAGCGTTATCATTACAACAAATTTAACAAAGCGTGTTTATTATTCGTAACAAGCTAGCCTGTTCATATTTCTAGCTTCATATAGTATAATCATATTGTTAAACGTATTAAGTAATATATAAGGCATCCATTCAACTTGGACATTTTATTCTGTTTTGGTCGCCAGTAAATGACTTAGATGGAGGAGATGCGGATGAAGAAACGTCATTTACGTCGGATCTGTTCCTCGACGCAACGAAGCTATATATTGTTGTCGGATGCGTTGCTGCCTTACTTGCTCTTGCTCTACTACAAGCAAGCTGTACTCTTTACAGATCATCGAGGAGACGAGCGACGAAGGTACGACATTACCTACCATTTTATATATTCATACGTTTTCTCCACCTGTTTTTTTAAGTAATTTCCTCGTTTCTCTGTTTTCTGTTCGCAACCTAATTACCTTTCCTTTTGTATTGTGTGTGCATCTAACTCTTGTTATAAACATCTTAGCGCTGTGGTATGGTCTAGAGCAATGCTGATTCTCAACTTATGTGTGTCTATTAGAAGTAACCTGCTTCAATCTTGGACCTATTGGTAGTCTTACAGAATTTCACCTGCAATAAAGATCACTTGTGCCTTAGAATTCTGCTAAGTACATAGTTGGGAAATAGATATGCTCTTCGAATATGTTATGTACCCATTGAAATTAACCAATGCAAAATGATGCTTTTACTTGAAATAGCAACAAGGTCTCTCTGTAACCTCCTCCTTAAATGTAGACACACTCCGTGAAAGTAATATGGAAGCTCCATGTTTGAGTGACTAGAAACGCATGAATACTTCAATAAGAAAAGAAGTGTCCTTTTTTCTCTCATTGTAATTGAGACATACAGAAATAGACACTAGTGTCACTTCAGACTCAACTTTCACTACTATTGCTCCACTCTTATGAACTCGAATCGATCTTCTGCTTCGCTTGTGTTGCATGATCCGCGCTCTTCGCGACCATCACGGTGTAAAGAGGGTGTACTCGCTGCCTCTGGCTTCTTGTGACGCGCCCAACCCAATTCATCGCACGAACGCGACGCGGTATCATCGACAAAACGGCGATCACCATCATCATCACCACCACCACCATCTCCGGCATCATCACCAACACGCTCCGTACGATATGCATCGTCCTAATCCCAGCTGGTAGAACTTCACCCTCTGTATACAATCGGCGCGCTAATTATTATTCGTCCTACGCTCGTTTGCTCACTAATCCAGGTATTTCTACAGTGGTACTTTTCTCTTGCTTTCTCTCTTTTCTTTCTCTTCTTCTATTTATGTAATCTCTTTTATTGTGTATATATCCAAAGAAAGCTCATAAATAGTAGCAAGTCTAAAAAAAAGACCCTAGGAAGTCTAAAAAAATTCTATTGAATATGAACATATAATATTCAAATGATCTTCGCTAGATAGCTTCATAGGCAAAATTAAACAAAATTATATGAAGTTACGATGTTCGATGTTATTTTATATAATCTTTCTATTAGATATAACTTTCACTGCAATAACAATAAGGCTAATGATGACTTGTTTCAGGATCGTCTGATCGCCAGTAACGCTTGGAAGGACTACGCCTCAGGTGCAAACACAAATTTTGCTTTCGAGGCTTTCGAGACAGAGGAGAAAGCTCCGCCACCACCAGTTTCCAGTCTACCTCGTCACAGAGAGATGACTGCAAACGGACTCGGTACTGATACTGTAGAGGGTCCAAATAGGATAGTAGGACCACGAGCAACGTACAGTTTGCCGCGTGCACCGGGTTCGAGGCACACAGCCGCCATCCAACCTGGTTACTATACCCAAGATCGCAGGGAACATTATCAGCGATCAAAGAACAATATACATAATCCGGCAGGCGGTGGCGTATCCACACAACCGAATCAACCTGACTTTTATTTCATGCCCAGTCAGCGTAAATACAGTGGTGAAGTCGTGCGCGTGTATGTGGATTACGGAAGTCAGGCGCCAAAGTAAGGAAGCATATTGGGAATTGGGATTCCAACGAACGATAAGAAAAATCAGCGTCAATGACTGTGCTGCCCTCTTCTCAGCTTTCCCTCGATCATGAACCCAAAGCGGACAATTAAATATACTTCGCTTCAGTGAAGCGATACTGTACATAAAACACGTTTAGTGGACCTGGAGGAAACGAGACTTCGAAACGAGCCCTTCCTCCGGTGCTTTTCTCATTATCTCCTTCTTCTGTCCTTTTTTTATTTGACGGTTCTTTCTACTATTTTTTTCTTTCCCGTTTTTGCTCGATCGCTTGCGAGCATCGATCGGGGGCAACACGCGCGGTTTCGTCTAACTGAATTACGCAGAAGTAGCGCTTACGACCAAAGAGTTATCGATAAGGCGCGCTCAATGCGCGGTTCTGTACAAAAGCGCGTGGAGAAATACACAGCACAAATATCACTGTAACTCTCGATGCGTGACAAGATACGCTTGGATCGTGTCCGGTGTCCGGAGTCCGGACCCCGTAACCCGTGCGTTATTACAGCAATATTTTATATGTACTTACGAGCAAGCATGGATGTTTGAGCAATAAAATGTTTGTACATTCTTTTTTAATCGAATACACGCTTCTCTTCTCAAGGATAAAATTTCGTCGAAGTACCTCATTTTGAAAGAACAAACAGGAACAGAATTTTGTTTGTCACGTTCAGCTGTGAAATTGACAATGTTTTTTTCATTATCTCTGTTGTTTAGTTATTTTATGAAATAGAGTTGTGATTGAAGTTTGGACTTTCTTCTTAAAGATAAAATTCCTTCTGTAAAATGCAATCGAATGTGTTCTAAAACAAAAGCGGGGCAGATGTGATACAGATGTATATATCATCATCCATAAAACGTCAAAGTGAAAACGTTCTACGAATGACTTTTAATTTATGACTCGCATAATGAAATATTAAAAATATTAGGTAAACGAAAAGAGCGAATTCATGGCTGTAGTAATTCTCCTATTAATATCAACAATAGTGCTGATAATAATAATGGCAACATTAGAGACAATGATAGAAGTACATAAAAGACATAACAAGTAGCACCCGCAAATAGAAATTTCTCACCGAGTATCTAAATTGCACTTTTGCTAGTTCTTAAATGGATCATTATAGAAACAGTAATACTTACAATGACGATACTGTCGATAAGACAGTCGTATTGGTACGGATCATAAATTATTACAATAGTGATAAAATTAACGATAATACTTGTAATAATCATAATAACGATAATAGCAGCAGTAGTAACGATGGCAATAATATTACAGAATTAATATTACATTAACGTCGTTAACAAAGGCGTTGCGCGCAAAACTATGACTTCCGACGTGTTCTCCATGAACGATGGAATATTTAAGATCAATATAATTAATAATAATAATATAATAATATTAATCACAATAATAATAATAATAATAATAATAATAATAATAATAATAATAATTATAAGGCGACACCACCAGGTAAGCTGTTTTTTTTATTGTACCTTCAAAAGTCTGATGTATTCGGAAGCTAATTATAGCACGCATTGCCTTCCTCGATACTATTTATTATGTAACTAGTATCGAGTACATATTTTCGGTCCTGCCATAAAATTATTCTTTCGTTTCTTCCATCACATAGTACGAAGTATGAGAAACAAGTGCCTACACGCTCTGAATCACGTACCAGACATACCCGCCAAAAAGCATGAACAGAACAGTGAATTTATACTTTTATTCTTAAAGAGTACGGGAAACAAGTACTCTTTACAGAAAATACCTTAACGAATAAATGCGCCTTGAATGTGGTATATATATGTATGTATGTATGTATGTATGTATGTATGTATGTATGTATGTATGTATGTATGTATGTATGTATGTATGTATGTATGTATTTATTTATTTATTTATTCGTACAAGCAGGAAATATAATAAAAACGAATTTCTTATTTCATTCTCGTGCACGTTTGCATTTGGCGAGTATGCACCGTTTCGACTAGTTCGTTCTTTTTTCTTTTTTTCTTTTTTTTTTCTTTTTTTTACTTCTGTTCGTCGCTATTGCATTCTTTCATTCAAGCGTATGCAAGCACACACAGACACATACATACTTAAAACATTTCTTTCACGCCCTCTCGATCTTTTTCTCTCGTTCCCTCTTCTTCCTAACCTTACTCTCGTTTCTTTTCTTTTTCATCTTCTCTACGCTCTGGCGCACTCCCATCTTTTTATAGATACATACGACGCGTAAGATCAGCAGCACATTGTTTTTTCTTCAATATATTTTTTTATCATTTTTCTTTTTTTTTATTTCTTCTCGATCGTCGATCAAAGCAGTGTAGTAAGAGAGTACGGACAGGCGAACATTTGATAAATGGAGTGAACACGATAATAAGGCTTAATTTAAATCTGTTAGTAAATTGTAATTCCGCGCGCGCTAACATTCTCTGTGTACAGGCAAGCCTGTTTCCACGCAGGTATGCATTCGAACGCCCGGGGGTCGGGGCTTCACTTCCTGAGCTTAACCAGTCCACTGAAAACGTTATTATCGTTTCTTTTCTTTATTATTTCGTTTTTTATTCTCTATACTTGTGTATGCTCTTCTAGGTGATGTCTTTCTCTTGTTACAGAATTGTTTGCTTGCTTATTTGGTTTTTCTTGTCCTACCCCGCTGTCCCTCATCCTTGTAACAGTTATCTATATTGTCACTTCGGCATATGCCACACGATCATTCCCTCACATCCGTTCCACTATCCTGCATCACTCTCGTTCGTACGCCGCTTTTTATTTCTTCCTTCATTTTCTTTGCCTAACGTCAGAATCCTTGTTGGGTGTTGGCTTGCTACGGGACGAGATAAAACCAATTATTAAACAGTTAATACTATTCGAAGGTGAAACTGGTCACGAGAATGAGTCATACACAATGAGGCGGGACACGGATACGCTAATCGATATGTGGTAACGTATTATTTTGTACAAGATTTTTTAAGAACCGGTAACACTATAAGAAAATTTAGATATTTAACTTATTTGCTTCAAAAAATATGAAAATAGTTATAAGAATATTTCTGAGATAATTCCATATTGATATAATCTAAATGTTTGACTACCTACTTATGAAATAATCTATATAAAGAAGTTTCAAGCATAGTTTAAAGGATATTTAACTGTACGCTTCGTACTCTTTAAATAAAAATTTTTGCGTTCATATATCTTTACTTTCAATTTTCTGAGTAAGCGCCAGTAAAGCTGAAAACGATGGCACGACGTCAGAGGGAAAGATTTAAAGTAATAGCGGGAGAGATACAACCGCGCCGGTGCAGACAAACGGCGTGGTTTTTTGGGGAAGGAATTCAACTGGATCGTCCTGTGACCTGGGATTTTCTGCGTCGGTGGCGTGTCAGGGGAATCGACAGGAAGTTTAGAGGGTGGAAGAGGTCCGCGCAGTGGTATATAGTATTCTAGTCTATCGTCTCCTGTGCTTGTACCCGGATCCCTGTATATATTAATAAATAAATTTCAAACAGATTTTCAAGTTTGAATCTTAGTAACTCTGCGGTATATCAACTTTTTCCAACTTTGACTATTTGACTCCAGCTTTTTTTTTAAAAAGAAGTTTTTAAATTTAATGGTTTCCTAACGAAATAATAGAAAGTATATTAGATTTTGTTATCAAGATTATTAAGATTGCTTGTTTTAGTGATGAAATAAAGGCTTTTTTTACAAGATGCGCTAGAATGAAATAATCAAAATTGAGAAAACACTATATTGCAATAATTATCTGAGACTGAATAAGAAACAAGTAAAAGTGAAGAATATACATACGTGTCAGGACTCTGATCAGTATCAGATTCCTCAAGTTCAGCCTTGTTTCGTTTCTTCTCGTAGATTAGGATAATAGCGCACAGAACAATAACCTCTGCGCAAATGCCTAAGAAGGGCCAGAGTGCGGCGAGCTTGTCTTTGACCCTGAGGAATGTTTGGGCCTCTGCCACGTGAGATTCAGCAGTATCGGACCAGTTATAGGATACCCTACAGGAAACGTTACCACGATCGTCCATCTCGATATTTTCAACCATTAAGACGGCTCCGTAGATATTTCTTTCATGGTCCCATCCGAGTTTAACGCGACCAGCGCTGCGCGTGTAATTCTGGTTTCCAAATGTCCATGATACCTTAATACCAGGACTCTGTTTACCGGCACATGTTAAATGCAACTTCTCTCCTTCCACCACACTTGTTGAATCAGGAAGGTATGCAGTAGGTTTTGCTGCAAATAAACAAGATTTTTAATATTGTAAACAAATTAATAGAAAAATTAAATATGGTAAAATATATATCAGAATTCTGGAGTCTTTGTAAAAGATTATTTTTCAAAGATGATATAATATTTAACAATATTGTTATAAAAAGACAAAATAAAATGAAAATAATAAATATTCGACTAAAATTAAATTTAAAAACTAAAAAGAAGAAGGAAGGCAGGTTTTGTATTGTAGAAAGAATTGAAACCCTTAAGAATAAAGATTTTAAGGTTATACTTACGTACGATCCCGTACTTTGTGGTATAGTTGGTTCCTTTACAAGTATAATTTCCATACACAGCTTCTGAGATCTTCAAAACTTCCAAGGTGCCTGTTTCGTTATCCAGTTTAATTAAATCTTCGTTACCAGCTAATGCTTTATGGATGGGAATATCTTGCTTAAACCATTGCAGCTTTTCCCCTGCACTTTTGTTTGCGCATTCTAATGTCATTGGAACATCCGTGGCTGTAAGTATTCTGATCTTCTTATCTGTCTCATAAAGAAACCAAATTGTTACTTCATATCAAAAGTTATTTATTCTTCTTCACATAAGATGCTGTTAAGTAACAAACTTGCTATGCTATTTGCATAGCACAAACCAACATCAGTTCATACGCTTGTTAATTTCACAATTTTTGTTTAGCAAAACAAAAATAACTTCAGTCGTTTCTCCGAGTTTATAAATTCAATTTGTATTCCTAATGCGAATTATATAACGTATTTTTCAAAATTTCTCAAGGTATTCAAGATCCTACGTTTCTTATCTTTAATAGTATTTCTTATCAGAACAGTCCAGGCCATCGTTATCTTTCAAATTTTTAACAAAAGCAACATGAGAATCGATTTACTCCCGGATAAAACAATCTGTTACATCTTCTTTAATACAGTTCTTTAATATACTAGCAGTTTCAAAATACATGTATTATATTATTATATTATTATATATTATAATATTATTATATACCAAAAAGTACAAAGTCTTTGCTTCGCTCAAATACCTTATGAGTTCACTAATTAAACAAATAAAAATAAAGAGATTCTTAATGTATTGTTTATTCCATGCAAGATACGCATTTTAAAGATTTTCTTTACACAACAATTTCCTTAACACAGTCAGCTAATGTTTTATTAGCAAAACAGTTTTACACAGAGATAAATCTAATTGCATCTTTGTTCTTTTATTAATCTTCAAGTTCTAAGAATCTTCAAGCGTCATTAAATTCGGAATTGGCACAAATATTTATCATATTAAGAAATAATTGGAAATACAAGTACAGTTAGATACTGGCAGCTGCAAGAATGAAATAACGTACTCAAGGCTTTTCAAAGCTTCTTCACTCGCGGGACAATAAACGCCTAGCGAAGATAAGAATTGCAAACAAACAGTAGCAGTGATATAAATGGACAGCAAAACACTGTAACGTTTGAATTACATCATGGAACTGGTATATAGAACAGGTATCTGAAGATTATATATATATCAATTCATGAAAGTACTTGAACATTTACCATAAAAAATTATATTTATCTACATAGTGTATGTGTTATATGAAATATTTTGGAATATCATTAACACTATAGTTAGTATGAATGACATGATTATATTGGTTAAATTTGAAACCAATCTGACAATGTATATTGAAGGTCTAAGACGTTTACTGCAAATATATATTTAGCAAAAAAATTAGTATATACAATGCTAAACATATAGTAAGCGTTAAAAATAGTCCCATTGAATATTGTGGCTTATTAATATAACGAATAATTGACTGTTCAAATATTTTTGTGCTCTCTGGGAAATATATATGTAGTTTGACCAAATATTTTGTAGTTTCTATGTACATTTTTACATTTGTTTCAACCTTTACCAATACACCCATAATAATTGTATTTGCTTACAGTGTTAATGAAATTTCAAAATGTTTTATATAACACATAATACGGTGGCTAGGAAAAGTATTTGTACATAGTGTACATGTATCTGTGCACACCCTTATTTTCCCATGACACGTTTTTTATTAGGTACTAAATTTTATTTCAGTAATATCAAATTTTGAATTATATGAAAGCATTACTAAACGATATGAAATTTTTTACAGTTGGAATTAATTAACTAGTAGGTATATAAATACAAAAATAAATATAGTGGTGTACAAATACATTTTACATATATATATATTCCACTATATATTCATACAAGCTTTCTAAATGTGTTTTGATACTTCGTAGTTTGAATACTACTGTATCCTCGAAATAGATAGGCTGCACATTCGATCATAAGAAACGTATTCTGTTTAGTCACAGCAATGTCCACCAGCAGTTGTACTCTCTGGGCCATTGTTCCATCTCATATGATACAGTCAATAAAAGCAGTAACAAGCACTAACAAGCCAAGGATGGTTATTAGTCGCGATTAATTATCATTTACGTTTGCACCACTACGTAGTCATAAAACCATGCGTCATCAGAAGAGAAAGAGTACAATAGTATAGAGCTCCACGTTAATTGTACAAGTCATAAAATACGTTTCATCATGTGGTAATGTGTGAAAAAGACTGAGTATCTCAAATAATTGTATAATTATTATTATTACTATTACTAATTATCATTCACATAAACAAATATACTTAGAAGCTCGAACAACGGGCGAACATCATAAGATTCATAATCCTAATCCTAGAGTGAACTCTGAACTTTCGTATGGGTTAATGAATGAAGGATTGATCGATGACAGTCGATGGATAGTCATTAACAATATGTCTCTTCATCGATTCGAGAAATTTACAGGTATGGCAATTTCAACAAATTCGAATCTAAGACAGTGATGACACCTGAAACTCGGACAAGTACCTATTTAGAAACAACCGCCTGCGGTATATTGCTCTATAAAGCTATCTTAAAATACTGAGATTTGAAAAAAGAGTATGCTTGATACTTAAACAAAAATAAGAAGATCCTTCAAAATAACGCTTTTGCTATAACGTTATTTTGAAACTTGATCAATGAAAATAGCTCTATATAATAATTGTATAAGTTATGTCAATACATTCGTTAATATGAATCTTTCTGCTTTGTGCAAATTAACGTAATATTTGTGTTGTATCCCATAATACAGTTGAAGAATGGTGAAAGCTTTACAAGTTATACGCATGTTGCGGGCATACAATGTTGGAGCGACTTCCAGTTGATTTCAAACAGACTATAATCTTCTGTTACACCTTCAATTACTCTTAAAATTAACATTCCAGAACCGGGTGTGCAACAAGAATTATATAAGCATCTGTTACGTTACATTTACATGCAGGAGAGACAAACAAGTATTATTCAAAATGCATACACAGACAACAAGCACAAAATGCACAATTAGGGTAGGTAAATATTTAAAAAATAGTTACAGTACTGCCCGAATAAACATTTGCAGATCGTGTCTGGATACGTAATTATGATAGCGCTTCACTAAGTTGGCCAGTTATCGAAAAGCATTTTTTAAAAATCCCTAGTATCTCTCTTCATCGTGTTTGACACGCGTATTTATTTCATATAGATATTTTTATGCATTACGGATTTTTATGCATTATTGTATTTTTATAAACATAACGGAAGAAATGAAACGTAAATAGAAATTTATTTCATCTACCAGATATTATAATAAATACTCTACTCTGGATATTTTATACATTTTTTTATATTATACGCATTGAGTGAATTTTTGCACCTTCAGATTTCCCATATATGCATAAGAAAAGAGACAATTCCAAGAGCTAGTTATATATTCTGAGAATTACAATGCACGAAAATAAATGTAAATTAAGCAACCTATACACACTGAAGTATACTGCAACGTGTGCAACTGATGCAGAAATTGTGGAACAGGCCCCTAATGAAGATAGAGACTCAAGACGAACAAACATTTAGACGCTTATACGGACAGTATCGCATGTAAATAAATATACAACATTATAGCAGAATATAAGTATAAATAGCGTGATATTATAGCAAAATATAAATAGACTGCCGATTTTTATACAAATTCATATTTTCAAAAATATAATTAAAAAAATAGAAATTGTTTTGCCTGCCAAATATTATAGAAACACTATACACCTTGGATATTTTATATATTATTCATATTATGCGCATTCTGTGAATTCTACACTTCTAGATTTCCTAAAAACGCATTGAAATCCGCAGTCTAAAATTTATAAGCGAAGGGAGCTCGACATATACGAACCAAAATTTATCCACAGATGAAATAACTCGTCGCTGTCTTGCGTGCATTTATAATCCCCATGGTGGCTATCCGTAGCATGCATTGCCCGCAGAGTGCTGCTTCCTGTTCCCACCGGCGATTGAACCGTCAGCTGACCACTAGCCAGCTCTGGTTCCAACGATTGTCCGTTTCTGGTCCATCTGATCATATCGTCCGGCTTCAAGTCGCTACACTCGATCGACCAAGGTTGATTCTCGTGCACGACCGATGCTCCCTTGTAGGTTACTTTATCGGGAAGAACATACGAGCACACATCAAGGGGTGTACGACAACAACCATCCGGAGATAATGACTTGTACGAGCATCTGGTTTCTACGAGGAACAGATCACGAGTGTGCTGTTCCTGAAGAGATATAGTCATTCTTTTGCTAAGTCTACGGCAGGCTTTTTCAATATAAGGTCTGATCACACGTGATCAATTGGGATTTAATTTTAAAGTTTCCTAGTTATTAATCGCATCATGGTGCTGCATAATGTATTATACCATGTGATAACTTTTCCTTGTAGAGCTTTGAAATCTGTTTATAGCAGTGTTATTCTAACGTTGTATTTTTTTATAAATATTTCCTTCTTTAAGAAAACAATTTATATTACCTACAGTGGCTCATGATAGTACTCAGACACTTACCATAGAAAATTTTGTGAATTATTCAAAATATGTTTCAGACTGGTTTCGAATTTTCCTAATAACAGTCTTGTCTCATTACAGTGCTAATAAAATTTAAAAATATTTTCCGTACCACATATAATAAATTCATTAAAAGTTTCATTCATAGTAAGTGTTTAAGTACTTTAAGTATACGGAATATTTTTGCATAGTATACGGAATCCAGAAAGGAAGTAAACTAAATATAATAATAAATAAAAGAGGCTAAAGAAGGAATTTTCCTGCTATGCATCGAACATGGCTTTCTTCACTTCTGATTCGGTAGAAAATAGCACTCTAGTGGATGGACTCGCAACGGTGAGTCGGAACCGGCCGGCGCCAAAAAGTCAATCACGACGGTGTAGCGACAAGAATGCAGGAACATCGGTAACGAACACGTTGATCCGGTTCCACGGGGCAGAGGACATACACGCTCGGCAATTCCTATTTATTTTTAGCGATTTATTCTTTTACAACACCCCGTCGTCCTCGTAGACACCAACTCGACCAGATGAAATTATAATGCATGCAGGCTCAGGGAAAAGAGACTGATAATTACGAACACATCGGGCTGACCTATAAAGTGGCTTTACTGGCTTCTGCCTTCCTTGTTAACCGATTTAAGAATATACCGCGACCAAGAGACACCTATAAGAATCGATGATTGTTTGCAATTTAAACATTTACTTAACGCAATTATATTAGGAATATAATCTAATGACCTTTATTTCAACAGTTATTTCTAGATCGAAGATCATCGCCAGTCGTTTAACGAATTTATAATTTAAGTTTTTAATTAGGAAATTTTATAAGAGAGATAGAAAGAACAAAGAGAAAGATGCGAAGCGTCAGAAGTTTATAGAGAAAACGGATAAGATAAAGAACAAGTCGAGCCACTCTGTTTACAAAGTCGGAGGTGTACTAGAACGCAGAGTAGGATGGAAAAGGGATCGATAGCACGAAGAACACGTGCCGTATGACCCTCAGCATCAGAAGTGACTATATTGCAGAATTATGTGGCTCTACCTAGGCGCGGTTATAAAAGGGAGTTGGAAGCCTGGCGTTCATTCGTAATTCAAACTGTTACCGCGTGACCGACCATGCGACTTCTAATGGCACCACTGACGCAGAGTCGATCTTTGACGGTTTTAATAACGTTAGGAAACTCGATCTTTGGAATTCTACCAAAAATGACCAAATGACTTCGAAATTGAATAACCCTTTAGATTATATTTTCTTAATTTTATTAACATCATAGTTGATTTCATTTATTTTTCCCTAGAAATGATTGTTGGAAAACCTAACCTAAATATTATCACAAAAATATCAAACGTTTATAATTTATAATTTTAAACAAACGAATTGTAGTGGTAGCTAATGCTTTCGCATAACTTGTTTGTTTTAGAAATAAACTTAAATGTACATTTAATTCGAAGTAAAAATATTCCGGCAGAAGAGGACTTATTGTATTCGAACAACGAACTGACTCCAACTGGACCGAACTGGAACTACGCAGTATCATTTTTTGTTTGGACTGGAGATACCGAGTTCCATGTGGAACGCTCACAGGAACTCATGCGAGAGGAGTCGGAAGATCTTCGAACGTCTCTTTATGCAAAAATATAAAGAAGACGATGGAGGACGCAGGAATTGGGACGCTCCGTGATCTAGGACGCAATTTGGCAAGTTGGACTTGCACATACTCGCGAGATGAAGCACAAACGTAAGATAGCCAATGCACATAAACACGTTCTACTATCCTACAATGTCCATTCTATTCTAACCATTATAAAGTTGAAACCACTGAACTCGTTCAAAGAAAAGATAAGCATATGGTTCGTGCAATCAAAGAGTTAAAGCAGTGATTTTAGTTTCAAGTTTCAAAAATGAGTTATTCGTCTTATTTATTATGTTTTATTCAACTTATATATTATTATTTTTCATTTCAGATTCTAAATAAGAATGAAGTTAACAAGCTGAATGAATGACCAAATTTTTCACATAGTGACCAAACATATTTATCACGAACTCAATTCGCACATGATGTTTCTAAGTCCATCCAATTTCGTTACATTATTAATTCACTCGCACGTTAACCAACAAGCTTAGAAGATAAATGAATTTCAAATATGGGTCGCTTAAAAGACGGTCGTTGCATCTCCTGATAAACTCATCAGCCTGATGTAAGAGAGTAGAGCTAGAGAGTTTTTCCAATAGGAATACATTACAATTTTTCTGCTCTAATAAGCCCAGCAGATAAGTGAAACTACTGAGGAATTGAACAACTTCGTACATGTTTTATTATTCTTGGAAAAAGTACGTATACACGAATATACAAAAGCACGTAATATACAAATTGTTCGATTTTAGTGATATAATCAGTATTTATATAAATTAATCACTGACGTACAAAAATGCAAAAGAGAAAAACAATTTTTATAAAATGTTTACAAGAGATTATTCTGAATGACTAAATCAAACATTATTCAGATTAAAAGGTTTGACCTATAAAATGAACAATATCGATGAGTAACGCATTGTCCCTAAGCATTGGAAAGAAGTTATCAATCTATATTGACTTAGAATTAACAGAAAGTTAGTCATTTAACAAGACCCACAAATATCTCTAAACTCAAACTAAAGATTATGTTCTCAGGCAAAATTATGCTTCATTTATCACGCAAACCAATTCCGTACATGAGTTACTTAAATGATTTTTCCTCTAGCATAACCTTCTGTCTTGTCCTCGAGTTTCGATATTATCTCGAGCTAAACGAGACATGTAGCGCTTGAAATCCGATATCGGAAAAGCTAGTAGCTAAACAAACATAAACGTTCAGAAGATACCAATATTTGTAAAGGTGAACAAGATTTGTAGTTTATAGTAGAAGATAAAAATGCCTTTTTCAACAAAGTTGTCAATTTAATCTTCTATAAATGACTTTCACCAGATAGACGTGAAAAACATAATGAAACTTCCCAACCTATACAAGACGCCTCTTTTATCGCTTTATAACTTCAACGAATAAGAAAAACTTTGATAAAAAAAAGCTTTTTTAAAGTCTCTGGTTACTCTTTTACAAAGACCGTAATTTTTATACTTTATTCGACTAATTCAATGACGTAACAAAATTCAGGTTGCCTCCTGAAATAGTATCTAACTTGATCGCGTGCAATTCAGATGGGAATACACCTTCCGACCTAATATATACAAAGAAAATGAGCGGGTAATTAAGTTTGAAATGCGATGAAGTACCCTCAAATTGCCTTTTTGTTTAATTTGTCCCATTTTGTGTTTAAATAGAGCAAACACGGGCCAATCTACGTGTGTTTACGTATGTTTACGTCAACCAGTCAATAAGAGATCCTGCTTCTCTTACGTCATCCTCAGGGAGGGATAGTAGGTACGTAGCCACAAGATACGCGTTTGCCAACGATACGCATACGATGATTTACAGTACCAATCTGTATCTGAAAAAGACATACGAAGGAAGAACGTTGGAATTGTAAACATGGTTAAGTGCCAAATATATTCGATCTTCGAAGATGGAGCAAATTCATTGATTGGATGACAAGTGCAGAACAAGAGAAATTCTTCCGCCATTTTTTTTTTTCGTGTTCGAGTTTCCATAGTAACCACATCAGATGAGCCCATTAATAATTTTCTTGGAAAATCACTAGGGTTATCCCTACCTATGTTGGAACAAACTTAACACATTCATAATAACAAAACAATTTAATCCTACAAGTTAAAATTCGAAGAGGATGAGTTTTTTAAGTTATTTGAAAAGGTTAGTTAAACCAAAATAAAGTAGGTTACACAGTGCTTCATCTCGATTCGAGCAATTATTTCGGGCCAGGTGTTTTCATGGATTTCTGTAACAACTTCGTACAACACTGTTTTGCATCGTGATGTTAAATAATATCAAATGATCCAACTACGTGCTCCCTACGTGTACATTAAAATGCATTCTTTTTGCCACCTAATTACAGTCCAAAAATTACACATAATTACACACCATTGGAATTCGTAAGGATGTCTGTTGCGAACAAATTTCGCCTTACACGAATAATATTGTATAGAAAGTCAACATGCATGAGAATTCTATGATAATTCAACGTAACTCAAAAGAAATGTTATTTGAATTATCGGTAAGTAATATCGATAAAAAAATACTCACTCTTCCTACTTTTCAGCCAATACTTTTCATATCAATAACTGACCATAACCTATATTAATTTTATACGTAATCCGTTTTAGGTTAATAATTTGATAGTAATATAATGTAACTCCCCAGAACGATTACGGGTATTTTAAATTAATTGAATAAACCTACCTAATTCTCGACAGAATTAAGCTGCAAAGCAGCAATGAGTACGCGAGGTCACACGACCTACCATTTCGATGACGAATCGGTAAAATTATAAATAAGCTACAACACTGTATACGAGTCCGTGTACATCATAGTGGTATTTGCCAGCAGCTGTAACAAAGGTCGGGCATCGGCTAAGCATTATGATTCACCATAACAACTCGTTGCACTTCACACTATCATTAAGAAATAATATATTCTTAAGTCGTCGATAATTAGATTATTAGCTTATCGTTCCACGAATGGATGATACATTAATAACAATTCATAACTTTTCCTTTTCAGCCGAAACTGATGAAGAATAAAACGTCAATAGGATTGTAATTATTTGAAAAGACAATCTTTTAAAATCATACAAGTCAAATGGAAAAACAAAAAAACAATTTATTCAACATTCTTAGAATAAAAATTAGTAATAAGCCTGATGAAATCAATAAGTTCAGATAAAACTTTTAATGAATTCTTTTAATCAATCGCCATGGATTATCTATATACAGGTAGTGACTAGCATTTGAGATCAGTTCTAACCTAGACCTAACCCAGACCTAGAATACAGAAAGACAAAAGTTTTCAGTCAGTTCGATCGAGTAACAGTTATGTAATAAACTAAAGATACTCTAATGAATTTATTTTGGTGATGCATAAAGCGATCCTTGATGTGGGAATATATGGCGGAACAAGTAAACCAAAAACGTCGCCCTAGTTAGTTAAACGAGGGTCGCTAGTCACTCTAGTTGCCTGGTAGCACTGCCTGCTTACTTATCGATAGAATAACACGTAAGAAAGCGATCGATTGAAGCGCACGAAATTGTTCGTGCCTTCGCGTTCTACGGACAGTATAGAATAGTGAACTCGGCAAAAAACGTTTACATTCGGAATCGATCGGCGCACTCATGCCCACTACCATGAATAATGGACAGATATCGAGATATTTTCTCTAATCCTTTTGATGAAAAATTAGAAACACTTTTTAAATCATTTATAAACTGTGAATATTTATGTAAATTTAGATTTTTATCAAAATGATTAAAAAAATGAAACCTAAATAGGAACTTCTTTCATCTAGTAAATCTGAGAACACTTTTGGATATTTTAAACTTTTTCATATTACGTGCATTCTGCAAATTTTGTATTTTTTCTTTTCTTAGTTTTCTATAAATGTACGAACATCCACAAACTCATATATTTTTATAACATATATATAAAATACTATTTAGAATCGATGTTGTTACTTCTTAAATTTTGTTTATCATACGAATGATATATAACATGTTCGACTATATAAAATATAAGCAACCAAGTCAATATCTGTATTATCTGTTCTTTTTCATTTAAAGCAGTAGATATTGATCTCGCGATAAAGAAAATTTTGTGAATAAAAAGAATCGATTCTGGTATAAGATAAATTTGAATTTCATATAAATTCTTTTTCTCTTTTTTCTAGCAATAAAATGATTCACGGACCACAGAAAATTATTTTAGAAATATGTTCCATGGAGTTTGAAGTTTGCATGCCGTTGTTACCGTTGCATTATTCTATGGTACATCTTAAAGGGTCAAAAATAGACAGGCGCTCCCAGGGTTAGATGTAAGCATTCTTCTCGTCTGGTTTGCAAGCAATGGCAAAACAGAGCGGATGAAAACATTCACCGTGCTAGAGAATGGAGGTTAAGTTTACATTTTAATAAACAAGACACGCGGACTAAGAATATAAACGGCCAATTTATGATAATCTGAATATCAATTTTACAAAATTGCAAATATAACTATGTAAGAATTCGAACTTACATCAAAATGAAAACGTTCGACTTGCCCATCCCATAACACGACGCAGACAAAATGGAAATTATATTCGTAGACTCTGGTCTAAATATAAGTATTCTGACGAACGCTTGAAAACTTTTCACGCGACACATTTTCACAGCTCTGTGAACGTTTTCTTCCAGTTTAATAAATGAATATTTCATAGAAAAAACCTGATAACCATCTTTTTATCTTCTGCATTTCATATCACTTGGTAGGAACATTCTAATATGACCTTGAAAGGAACAAGATATATAAATTCATCAAGTTTTATAAAAAAAAAAGAAGAAAAAAAAGAAGAAAGATATTCATTTCCAAAATCGACTGAAAAAAAGTATAGTCTTGATAAAATGAAAAACCTCACTCATCCTGTTTTTTCCTGTAGTTTTTAAGTAAGATTTAAAATTTTGGTGTTCTTTTCTTATGATATAGATGATAAATGTATGATAAATGAATGAAACTATTGATTTTGAATATAAAGAACGGTTATACATGTACTTCTTGTACACATCGCAGTAAAAGTAGTTATAAAAGTTAGCAAATAATAGCTGAAAACGTGTTCTCACGCATCATAGCGTATTTATCAACGAAACTTAACTGGCCGTACTATCATGATGGAAAATCTCGCGATTTACGTAATTACCAACCAAACATTAATTTCCATGTAACGATCACTAAAAGTAAGTAAGTAAAGTTTTCTGGGTGGATTAGTAAAATAGGGTCAATTGTTACGCAACAAAAGTTGCTTGGCGTGGGTACTTTGCGTACGTCTCTCGGAATGTAGCTGCATCGAATGCGACCGAATCCCGGTGTCTTGCGTCGGTATAACCAGAGGTGCGCAACTCGAATGACCGCAAAGGTCAAAATTTAGTCGATACATTGCTTTACCCGATTACCGGATTATATTTCAAACTTACATGCTTAAATTTTTGCCTACGCACTTTTATGTGACATATTGAACAACATAAAAATACATTATATTATTGCACTGTAAAAGAGAAACATATATACTTTATTACTTAAATTAAAAGATATATATATATATATATTTCACTGTTTAAATCAAATATATAGATCGCACTATTTAACTTAAAAAAATATGTATATGTTATATTATTAAAAAATATATGTATATACATTTACATGTATCTTTATACATATGTAATAGCATCAAGAAATTATGTACCATTGCCAATAAACTTCGATACAGTTAGAATTAATTTCTGCACGAACACTACCAAACATCACCACATCGACATGTATCATATTCGAACAAAATTTCAAATATCGATATGGAAACGATTCCAAAAGTAATTTTACCTATACGTGGAAGACAGTTGATTAGGACACACGTGAGTACTACTCACTAGAAATAGAGAATAGAGAACTATGAAATATTGTTATCCCATATCTAAATTCTGTTTTAAAGTCACCATGTAATTTGGTGATGAAAGTCGTTCAAATATTCATACAATGCATAGAAAGAATCGTGGTTGAGGATGAGTTGATGGCATCACATATTCAATGCCGCGTTGAGATACTCGCATTTCTAACGCAATGCGGTATAATCAAAACTAAAAATAGAATTTCATAATCTAACAAGACATGTCGCCTGCATTAACACGAAATATTCGCGGAAATTATATTTCAAACAAATATTTTTAATTTAAAACGGTAATTTTTATATATGGAGTATGTAAAATGTGTAACTGTATTCAATTTAATAAAAACTTTGCTTGCAATTAGCACGTACGATAAGGATGCGTTTTATACACCATGTGACATGTACGTCGTAGTACCAATGAATTTTTTAAATTCGTCAGATCATAATCAAGATACATGTCAATAATTGTAATGATTATGTTGAAGCGAGAAGAGAAAAATTTGTTGTTACAGAAAATTTTAAAGAAACGAGAGAAAAACTGAGAAATGTCTGTTACAAGGAACATTTTTCCCAAAAACAAGATTCGATTGACATTCTTTATTCTTCGCTAGTAATATCACCCTCTGTACGTCAATGTTTTATAGTCACACATATAATCTATGGATACAGTAAATACGTTTTCTAAGGAACTAATCCAACAAATACATTAGGGTGCCCTCAGACTATCAATATATATTATCAACATTTCAAGATTCTCAACTAAAAAAATCATTATATATTGCCGATACAATATTGTCAATATTATACAATGATGTTAAGAACCTTGAAATATTGACAATGTTATTGATTGTCTGAAGGCACCTTTAGAATAATCAAATATATACATAGATTCTTACTAGCAGTCTTACATTGTGTCTCGGATGTTTTATTCGTCAGAACGACACTTCGTCAGACCACGCACCCACTACAACCGAAGACTATAAAACGCGTAAAATTTTCCAACTCGACAAATATCTCATTCCGTTCAAATACTTCTGGAAGAAGGTACTATCTTCTTAAAACAGAAGGAAGTTGGAAGAATAGTTTCCGAATACGACTTGACAATGTGACGGGAGTGTACAACAAACGCTAGAAGACAACGGTGGAAAGAAATAAGAGACAATAAATGGTAAAATGGACTAAATGAATGGCAGAATGGTAGGCAATCCGAAAGAGAGGATAAATCTCACCTGCCTGGACCATGACGAGGGTGCCCGCTAAATATAGCATTCCCAGCAGCACAAAAGCAGCTCGCCTCTCCATCTCGTGGCGCTAATGTACGCGGTGGCGCGTGACTGTGTGCACTTTGCGATACTTAACGATTCGATACGAGGCGAGTTTCTAGGGATCCCTAGACGAATCACAGAATAATGACACCTATGTAGGGCTGCCGTATCTTCGTTTTCGTGATCGCTGCCGTGATTGTCGTATCTTAGCCGTCGTCGTCGTTGTCTTGGTCGTCACCGTCGCCGTCACTGTCGCCTTCCTACAACACCCTTCCCGTTGTAGATAGCTTCTCCTTTTCGGCTGTCCACTCTCAGCCAACTACGATGAAGCCCCACTACTCTCTGCCGATCATTTACACACGCACTCGTCACTTCGAGCCACGCCGTATCATTGACGTCTCAACTCCTCTTATCGTTATCTCTTCGCACGGTTATTATTTTTTTATCTCGGTGTGTGCACAAAACAACACCGAAATTCTCTCAGTCTTACAGCACCTGTTTCCTCCTTTTATTCCTACCGGATCTCGAGTCTCGAACTCGAAATCGTTAAGAAATTCGACAATTAGCACCACAGAGCCGCAGAAACAGCAATGTCAGGGAAAAATGGCTGCCCACTGTCTTCTGCTTTAATTTTCTGCGCGGACTTCGCTCTTACTTTCTCGATCGTTGTTCCCTCCTTTTCGCTCTCCGACGTACACTGCTCACGCACGTCCTCTACGGCTGTCCAATAAGACTCGCGCGCGCATGCGTGCTACATCTCCATCTAAAAAATATAGATGCCTCCAGATTTTTTAGGTACAGTTTATATTACGATTTTATGTGCTAATGACAAAGAATAAAATTCAGTTTTTGAATTATATAGATATTTTTGTTGATACAGTATATAGTGAGATTGTTGTTATATGTCCAATTTTAGGAAATCGGATGGTTTACTGGAAGGAATTTAAATTATAGGTGTACAAACCCGTATTGACAAAATACTAATACGCTATTGATATTGGTATTGTAGGTATGATATTTCCTCTCTAGTATGATGTAATGAATTAAGATATTAAAAGATTTCTATAGCATGATGATCAAAATTATGGCATTTTAGTAATAGACTAGTCGATTAGTGGATTGAATTAACATGTTAATGCGTTTAAGCTCGTTCATTATTCAATGATAGTGAGCTTTCCATAAAAACGGCCCAAAAGTATTTAATTTATTATGTGTAAAGTTTTATAATTCAATTGCTTATATTCACTCGTGTAGAAAGGTATTGAAGTATAGTTAAGGAAATAAATATAATAATAGAAGAGTTTTCACGAACTTACAAATTTTATAGAGTAAAAGATGTACCTATGTATATAGTAAATTTGTAACAGCACTTCTTCTTGGATATACTAAATGTTATCTATAAGTTATATCTATAGTCAACTCATACAAAATGAAAAGGAGCTAAAATTCCTCATCGATTTTTTTTAATTTATCATAATTGCATAAATTACTTTTTTATTGTAATTCATAAATTAGTATTTCACAAAAAATATTACATAATAAATAAATTATACAATATAAATTTTTGTTTCAAGTAAAGTCATTAATTTATTTGAGAAATATGTAATCTGTTTTTAATATCTATTTACAATAAGGAATTTTTAAAATATATTTTCAAATTAATTTTGATCAATGCACTAGATTTTTATAGACAGGGTCATATAAATTAGTGTATACATATATAGAAAGCTTTCTAAATTCGAAGAATGTAAGATATATTTTTAAGTTATTAACTTTTAATACAAAAGTAAAATTGACTTCTGTATTATATATTGGTTATATATTAAAAGAATTGAATATATCTTGTCTATCATAATTTTCAATTATTCTAGTAATCCTTTTATTGACCTTATATTCTATTCATATTACAGAAAAAGATATTAAAAGAGCATATTTTTTTCTCTCCAATGAAGTAACAATTTAAATAAATAACAATTTAAATAAATTTATAATATCATACAAAAAGGAATAATACAACTAAATCAGAAATAATAGATCTGTAAGTACTCTTGTGATAAGATAAATAGATTTTGTTAAATTGCTTATCATTATGTGTAAGGAAAGTAATGGAAAAATTATTGATACCACCAGATAAATAGAACTACTTCTTAAAGGGACTTCGATATCAACTCAGATTTCTACGAGAAGATTCCAAAAGAATATTCTTTCCAACAATTTCAAAAATTATGGCAAGTACCAATAAAGATCACGCAAAATTAAAGGAAGTAAGTGCTTGTTTTACTGAGAAAACATTGCAAGATATATTATATACCGTGCATAATGGAAAAGAAGTGAATGTATTGAGTTGGGAATTCGGTGGATCAAGTACCATTGGGGACAATTATTTATCAACAATTTATAAGATTAAAGTCACTGGTACGGTAGATGGAAAAAAAGTGCAAGTTGGTTTGGTGGTTAAAGCTCTACCAAAGAATAAAGGTAGAAGAAAGACATACAGAAGTGCAGAATTTTTTAGCAATGAGATTCTATTTTATACAAAGGTAAAAAGATGATTAGTTCATTCATTCATAAAATTCATTCATTTAAGATATTTTTTAGATAATTCCAAAATTCGAGATGTTTGTAAAAGAAAAAAATCAACCTCAAGCATTATGCATTCCACGTCATTTTGCTTCTGTTATGGATGGTGAAAATGATTTTATAGCATTGGAGGATGTCACTTTTTTGGGTTATGAAGTAATAGGTAGACAAAATTCTCTAGATGAAGAGCAATTCAAGATGATTTTAAAAAGTATAGCAAGATTTCATGCAGTTTCTCTTGCATTCAAAGATCAAAATCCACATGAATTTAGGGAAATTGTAGAGTATTTGCATGAAACATACTATAGTAATGAACATTGGAATTGGTACAAGAGATTCCATGTAAGGTTATTAATCTTATAATTTTCCATGTTTAACTTTGCAGGATATTATGATGTTAATTAATTATTTTCAGGAGAAGATATTAGACATTACTAAAAATGCCTTAGCTATAGAATATCCTGATAGCGAAGCAGAAAAAAGATTGAAGTCTTATAAAGTTCAGGATTTATTTCAAAAAGCAGTTGAATTATGCAATCGTAAATATCATTCAACATCTGTTGTCAGTCAAGGTGATTCATGGATCCCAAATTATATGATCCGGAAAATAACTGAACATGAAGCTTTAATACTCGATTTCCAACTGGCAAGATGTGCCAGCCCAGTCTTAGATCTCTCAACTACTTTTTATTCTTGCACTGATAAAGCACTTTGGGATGAAAAATTTGACATATTATTACAATTTTATTACAACGAACTATTCAATACCATCACTTTACTTGGATCTAATCCTCGAAACATATATTCATGGGACATGTTTATGAATGAGGTAAATTGTGTTCATATTTCTCAGTAAATGTGACAATTTTCAGTAATAACACATAAAACAATTAATTATAGGTAAAAGAACAATTTGTATTTGGTATGATATTTGCAATGGAAATAATTCCAATGGCTTTACTGGATGAGTCTGAGGCATTTGACTTAGATCTTATAAAAGATGACAATGGAATAGATATAGCTGATATATGGACATTATCATACATTAAAACAAAAGAGGGCAGGCTTAAATTAGCAAATATTGTTGTACATGCTGTTGAAAAAGGATTTTTCTAAATCATACAAACAAGTATATTTTATACATAATATTTATTAAATGTGTAGCATTAAATAAAATATAGACAATCTGTATTTGTATAATTTCAATTATAACAACACAGTTTAAGTAAAATATAGTTTGTATAAGAGTAGATATAGATATTCATTATTCATTCTTTTATGAATAATGAGTGTTTTAAAATTCTTTTCTTATCATTTATTTAGGTTAAGAAATTAAGAAAGTTTTATAAGGTCGTTTCATTTTCATTTATAAAAGAACATCTATTGCCAGAAAATATAATTCACAACTATGAGTATATCTATGAATGAATATTTCATGTTACAATTTCACAAAAGCAAGCAATTTTATATGAAAGAATACTAGAAATTCGTGATGTATATTTTGATTGTTAAATAGCATCACATTTAGGAAAAGTATTTTTACATAAACTGTAAATTTGTGTGACAAAATAATCAGCGTACTTCCTGCCGATTATTCTTATAAATTTTGATGCTGAACATTATTTGTTAAAACATTACTGGCATCAAAAACAGTAGTATCCTCATCATCTTCCTCATCTAATGGCAAAGGTCGCATCTCAACATCTTGTCTATGTGCAAGAATACCATATTTTCTGACCATTTGGGCACGTGTTTTATTTAACCTATGAAATAACATACGAAGAAAATATTTAATCAAAAATTAAGTCATCAACTTAGGCTGAAAACAGTAACTACTGATTCCAAAGCATCTAAAATTTAATGATCAAAGGAGAAATTCAATCTCATAATAAATGCTATGTACCTAAAGCTACGGAACACGATATAGGCCAAGACAAGAACACTTAGCCCCACAAACACAAAAAAACCACGCTTCAGAGCTCCAGCGTTTAAAGAAGTTGCATGTCCTTCACCCACATGCTGTTGAAAATTCACATTATTAATGATTTAGTAGTAGAGCTTTTGTAATTATTTTTTTAAATGTCTAGGTACATGAAATCAAACCCATTTTGGTTAGATATACTGCAAAATTCAAAAGACAGTGATAGAAACTAAAAGAAACATCACTCCAAGGAAATGTTTATATTTTTGTTGCTCGATAAACTTCAAGCACTAACCTCTTTCCTTGTTTCTGTAATATGTGCAGTTTTATTACCATCTGACTGTTTTGAGGTTATATTATTCACAGTTTTGTTAACCTCGAGAATCGGTGTGGTACCAGGTAAGACTGCATTTTGTTGATGTTTTTCTTCATTTACAGAAGTCTGTGCGTTATTTTTTTTCGGAATTACAAAATCTTTATCTAGCAACGTTGATTCAGGTACAGCCCTGTTTATCCTAAAACTTCCATCACATACTGCGCTCCGTTCTAATAGAAAGATCAACAGAAATATAAAAACTTTTATCATCTGGATCTTTGAGCGTGTCATTGTTCCGTGTCATTTGTAAAAACAAAATTCTAAGAAGGAAAACAGCGCAGCACTATACGTTGACGTTTAATCACGGGTTCCATGTTGACCCGGCTTATAGTACTAACGTTTCAACTCTCGTTTTAACTTCAATCGCTGTTTCGCGGTACACTCGTATATATGCCGGTGATTATGAAAGTGGCCTAAGTCATATATTTTTTTCGATACATTTCGAGATACATATTTAAAGTTTTGCGCTTGACGCATGAATTGAATTTTGTTTAACGACACAACGATCGACTCAATTCAACGGTACTTCGCAAAGATGGTTTCAAATTATTGTTACGCAAATAAACGCATCGCAAAATAAGTGATAAACTCATTTTTTTTTTAGATTCTTGTCTTAGGTCACTTTTATAATCATTGGCACGTATGCCAAACATACATACATATATTACTATAGACAGTATTCCAGCGAGATGATTTAAATACAGATTACAGAGCATCACGACACGTATTTATATGGACATATACAGAGGTTTACGAAAGTATTCGAATACTTATAGAATTTTTTTCTGAATATTTTTTGAAATTTCGTCAGCACTGTAATGAGACACAACTATTATTATTATTATAGTAATAAAATTTGAAACCGATTCGAAAATGTATGTATAAATTACAAAAAATTTATTGAAAATATACACTTAATAAACAATTGTAGTATATAGCATGAATAGTAATCTTAAATGTACAGTTAGTACTAGAAATGGTCTCACTAAATATTGTGGCTTATTGATATAATAAATAATTGACTATTCAAATATTTTAATAATATTTGCGAAATGTATGCTTCAAATAAATATCTTGTAATTTCTATATTACATTTTTAGATCTACTTCATATTTTTCCAACACAATCACGATATTCGTGTCACATTACAGTACTTATAAAATTCCAAAATATTTTGTATAATATATGCATGAAAATTTCTTAGAAGTATCCGAATACTTTTGTGAATTATTGTATGTTTATTTAAGTTTATTTTCCGTTTTATGCGAAAGAAATTTCTTGATGTTTTCAATATTCACTCGAAATCGAATTATTCGAATCGATATAAAAAAAAGACCAGAAGAAATAGATTTATTATACTAGAAAGAAATTTTCCTCCCTGATTATACCTGTTTATATAAAATACACTTTTAATACAAGTAAAGATATGTTAAAGTCTACTAACTAATATTGTAAGTTCTACTTCTGTTACCAAAATTTTTCTAAAATTATAATTTTTAAATTGCACTATATTCTATACAGTTATATTTATTTATAATATTATTATTTTGTTTGTAATGCTACAGTTTACGTTCTTAATATGATATAGTATCGTTAATGTAATCGATAAGAACTGTCATCAAATATCAAAACGGTAATATAAGGCAGCGTGCAATTTTAACGTTAGTTATCTCTATCTAACTTATACAAATTACATATTTTTCATTTCATTGATAACTGGTAGTTAATCTAAAATTTGTATAATTTTTCTTTAAAAATGTATATGAAAACGTAAGTTTTATTCATATAAACTGTACAAAAAAATCATTACAAAATAATTTGTACTTTTCATTCGAATCCCCAAAAATGTAAATCTATAAAATTTAATTTTAAATTATTTATATAGAACTTCTCTGAAAACTTAAAAATTGTTTATGTGGACCACTCTGGTCTAGTAAAAGATGTTAAATAAAAAGTTATCTGTAACATGGAACCAGGCTTTATGTACAATGTCAAATGACTGTGTGTCAAACACAAACATTACATATCACGAAAAGAGTACACAGTTGACATGCGTAGTCGTTGGCCAATCAGAAGAAAGAATTTGACGCGTACCATGCGTACAAGCATACGTACGCGAACGGCAGTTGGAGTGGTTGGAAGTTAACGAGTAGAGCGCAATACACGTCAGGGCTCTTATTTTGATTCGTGGAGGGGGCTCACCTCGAAGAAACGGGTGGCTGAGTCCGAAGGATTTGCCAGGAAAAGAAGTGAAGGATTATAGGTTTGATAATAATAAGATTAAACATGATACATGCTGAAAATGGGGATGTTATATATTTGGAACAGTTAAAAAATCCAATGGAGAGCGACGCGACAGAGAAGGCAGTGTCAAAAAAGTGCGAGGAGCAGCTGTCTTCGATAAATGCAAACAGCTGTTCGTCCTACAATGATGCAAATCGTTCGATAGAAATGGCGCAAGAGGACAATAATCTGTGCTGGAATAACCTTCCCAGCATCATTCTACAGGAAATATTCTCATATTTACCTTACAACTGCCGGTTACGAGCCTCCCAGGTAATCTTCAATTTTTTTCCCCCTCAAGGCCGTTTAAATTCTGACCAACACAGTGGGTAATTAAACCACTCTCTGTGTTGAGGTTTATTTTCTCTCTCTTTCTTTCTCTCCCCCCTCTCTCACTCTGTTCTGTTTATTATATACTCTGAATATTAATTTTAAGCATTCATTTTATTTGATAGTTCTATTGTTTTATACAACCAAATAAAGAAAAAAGACAAGTGAGAAACTATTTAAAAACTTACAAAAAATTAGTTATCAAACAGTAGTTGAATATTAATTTCATATATTTCCATTCTTAGCTTTTGAAATCATCCTTTAAAGGTTTTTATGTTTTAATATAAGACCTGAATTGTTTTGAACTGTGGTACTTTTAAAATATATGTGCTACATATTTATCATTTGTTTATCATATCATATATCATATCATATGTATTTGGATATCACAGATTTTATAGATTTGTTTAATAGAAATGATTTATTCAAATTAATTTGCATAGGTGTGCAAAAATTGGAGATACGCTCTATTTCATCCTCATTTTTGGAAAAAGATCACATTTGTCTTGAAAGATGAAGACAGTGTATCATGGACTAAGTATGTAAAGTTTTCTATACATGTGTAAAATTTTTAAACATTTAAGATTCTACTTCTTTATTTTTTTTTAGATGCCTGGCAAACAATTTCGAACTTAGTGTGCAAGAAGTTACAATCATCTGTGATATATCAAATTATTGTGCAAAAGAAACGTTAGCCCTCTTGAAAAAGCTAAGATATAATAGGCAACTTCGTAAATTGTTTTTGGAACCTATCAATAGTACATTCGAATATGAAGATGGTACAAAATGCACTAAAGCATTGGTTTCTTCTCTTATAACCATTATAAAGAAATCCAATCGTTTAGAAGCTCTAAGTCTGGGATGCATAGAAGATTTAATAGGAAGTGCCAGACAAATTGTGATACATCTGCGTAACTACCAGGCAAAGCACTTGACAACTCTTGCTTTGGCATCTGTTAAGGATGATCCTGATGATTTTAACATTTTCAATGCTAGTTATGGACATCTGTTTGATTCATTTGCTAGATTGTCTATTTTAACATTGGATTATGAGTTCCTAACCAATTCTTTGCTAAAGGCATTGGACAGTGGTACGATGGAAAGGCTTGTAATTCATGTGCATGGTTGGCATTATCAGTTTTCGGACACAACTGATGGTAGTTGGCAAAGTTTTGTTCAAAAGAAGTAAGTATTAGTATGGTTAATTTATCATTATTTTAATGCAATGAAAAATTACTTATTACATTGCTTCAATTTCAGTCCGAAATGCGAGCTGCGACTAAATCTTCTACATTCTTATGTTGGTATTGAAAAATTAGATACAAATATACTTCGTCCTTCCATGCCACTTACACATTTAAAAGTACTATTTTGTGAGAAGTTTAATATTAGAGTATTGCATCGATTATCCAGGTGGTATTCGCTTACTTTAAAATCTTTAATATGGATCGATTCAGTACAACCTTCAGCAAAAAACATACCAGCAACATATGACCCAAATGATCCTCATAGGTAAGATGCATTATTTTATGTTATAATTTTACTCTTTAACTTTTTTATTAATGTATAAATTTAATACTCTGCTGTAGCCCTGATCCACTAGTATTAGTTGCATGGAAGTGTACCAAACTTGTGGAAATTGTATTCATAGGCCACAGATATCATCAAGAAAATTTGTTGGCTATCGCACGCCTACGCGGAAATACGCTTAAGTCGTTAGTATTTGCACAGAGATTCATTGCAACTGATGTTGAATCTTGGCATAAGTCTGAAACTATTACACATGTAAGTCTGTATCTTCAATATTGATATTTCTAAATATAGATTTTGATTTAACAAAACTATTACTAAATTATTTTACAAATTATTTTTTTTAACTGGTTTTTTATTATATAGGAAATAAAAGAAATAATGGGGAACCAGTGGAAACCATTGAGCGATGAAGATTTACCTGCAGTTGTTAAAAATCCTTTCGAAGGTGATAGCAGGGAAGTTATCATGCCTTTGGTCCTCCAAGACCAAAAGTAAATTTTTATTTGCACCAAGGAAATATTACTCCCCGATACCATACATTACTAATCGACATCATCAACAATTTCTGGGCGGGCTACACTCTCAGAAGTAAAGTTATAAAGTTATATCCTTTATTTTTCTATAAGAATTGTTTTTACGAGAACTATGGATGTAACATCAAACGGTGGACATGTGTAAATTCGTAGTTTAAAATCAGTAGTTGATGGATATGTTGCCTATCAGGTAAGGATCACACAGTTCCAGTGTGTAAATAGCGAGGGTAAAAACGCACACAAGTTCTCCTTTATAATGATTTTATTAGTTCTTATGAGGATATGATAAGCTATAGTTAAAATATGTCTTTCTTGAGTCCGCGATGAGGTACCTAAATTAAGTACGTATCACCCCCTATTTTTGTTTATCGAAACGAATATCAAAGTATTTCGTTGGTTTTTCCTACGAAAAATCATTTGTGGTGCAATAACGTTTTATTGCTAACAGTGGTGATCCCAAAACGATCAAAATAAGAGAGATAACAATTAGTGATCGTTCCTCTCATCGATGAATATTAGTGAGAAAAAAAGCATATGTAATATACGAGTGTAATAATATCCTTGATAGATATTAAGAATGAAAGCATTACAAGACGATCAAGGTCTCACCTAAACGGACCTTCGATGTGACGTATACCTGTTGATATCACGGGAAAATAATTTCGAATGTGTGTGAAAGGGAATACTACCAATTAAAATCAACGCGAAACAAGAAGAACAAGACTAGATGAGAGAAAGAACCGATCTCACGATGTTCCACTGGAAAGCGTAACGAAATTCCAAATGTATGTAAGTAGAAATATGTTAACAAATATTTTTCCAATTCTATGGGAAATTTAGATCGAAGCGAGCGCCAAGAGCATGCAGTGTAAGAAAAAGTAACTAAACGAAAAAAAAATAAAATATGTTGGACTTCGTAAAAAGAGAGTTTGCGATTGAGTTGCGATAAAACAAAAGATGCACTCAAAAGTATAAGAAGTCGAACAGCGATCCGAGGTTATTTTTAATACCAAAACCAATCGGACGCTCTTGTACAAATATTAAATGAATGTGTGCCGAGAAGAGTGCGGTTGATTTGGTGGTACAGACAGTTAGACACGCAGCAAACACACAACTTTTGCGTGTCGCTTTAGTAAAAAGAAAGAAAGAAAGAGAATATCGATGATATTAATGAAGAACTGTGCGACCTCCAAGTACCGTCTTTTCACCGTGCTCTTAGCGACCGCTGGAAACGAACACAATTATAGGTTTATCTATAAAAAACAAATCAGAGGAATTAGCTGCTAATTGTGTATGTGTATATGTATGTATATCTGTATTATCTATCGAACTTTAAACGTTAATATTCAGATGCCACATGCATCTATTTCTGTCGTGCGATTAATAATGACGATTTCGAAGATTTAAAAGAAACATGAAAATGAAAGAAAACGATTTACAAACACAAAGAACAATACCAAAACAGCACTCTTATACAGTTTATTATTCTGAAAGGTTATTTACTTTTTTCGAGTCCTTGTATAATTATTATATCGTCGTGTACTTGTAGTCACGTGTACTATTGCTTTTTATATGTGGTTCTGTACATATACATCCATGCGTTTAAAATATTGGACACGCGCAGAAATCGCGGAGTTGCGCCCGAATTTAATGCAAGGAAAAAAAAGGAAAGAAAGAAAGGAGAGTGAGATAAAGGGAAAAGCAATATATAGCGGATTATCTGAGAGAAAGAAAAAAGGACAAAAATGAATCGATTGAGAGCTAGGCACAAATAATGAAAAAACTATTACTTTAAACAATTTAAAACTGTTATACAAAATGAATGGGCCTTAACCCTCGAACTCGCGAACGGCGGTAGCTAGATAAATTCTGATCCATGCAATTCAGTTTCATTATTATTATTGTTGTTGTTGTTGTTCTTGTTATTGTTATTATTATTATTATTTTCTATACAAACAAAACAGCTAGATCTTACCATTTGTGTTTCCAAATTAAAAGAAAACTCAAGAAATGATCGACTATAATAATAAAGATAATAATTATGATAGAATTATAGTAAATTATAACTAAAGAAAATAGATTATGAAAGTATCTTATAGCACGCCATCTCACTACGAAGCAAATGGAGTTAACGTAAAGTCAAGTTAACGAGTGTTTGTTCACTCTTTTCACCATTTTGTTTTGTCATTATAAAGTAAATATTTGATGCTCGAGTCAGAAATGATCCAGCAACCGCCAAGCGAGGGTTAACATGTATCGCATGTACCTGAGTCGCGGTAAGGATAAATCTGCCGAAAAAAATTTGATACGCGACAGCCACCACTGAAGAATACTAATCATAGTCACCTTAATGGACATTTTTCGGCGATTTGCTGCAACACCTGCTTGTTTCTCGCCAAAAAATGACTGACAAGTTAAGGTATAACTCATGCCCTTTCATTTCGTATTCCGTGTGCGTGTATTTTTTGAGATCAGCAAATTTTTACAAAACGGTGAATCGACGGTTATTCATTATTTATATATAGAAAAAACATTCTCGCGAACTCATTATTGTTCGCCGACCATTGACGTTGTGCGGACGGGCCAGATGTTATTTAGGAAGTCTTTTTTCTCTTTTCTTTTTTTATTCCTCGTATATATTTTTGTCGTTTTTATTACTATTACTATTATTATTATTAATATTATTTTCTTTTTGTTTTTAATCAAACGAAGTCCCGCATAAACAGTATACTCGCGGGCGCGGTGCCCGACGTGTGAGTCGAGAGAGAGAGAGAGAGAGCGAGAGAGAGAGAGAGAGAGAGAGAGAGAGAGAACAGTGTGAAAGAACATATGACGTTGCGAAAATAATGATAACGTATGAAAGGAAATGAAATTTAAATGAGAGAAGATGAGATATGCGTTCGGATGTAAGAACGAAAGTTATCCAAATGAGTAAAAATAGCAAGCAAACAAACAAATGTCAGGTGACACGTAGTACCATCTCTGCGAATCCTGTGTACAAAGTCATATAGAAGAAGAAGACAATTCGGTATTCGTGCGGTCGCTTAACCAAATGGACACAACCCAACTATACGCATATATATCGATATAAACGCGAATGACAAACCAAGCATAAGACTGAACCTACTGGGAAAGGTATAACCACAGTTAGGCGGTCCGCACGTCTAGCCAACGTCCGACCTCATATTCATAAAACAAGGACGATCCCGACTAAACGGAAAGCATCGTTCGCGAATCGCGTCGGAACGAATTTGTTCACATCGATTTTACCTATTGTCGATAACGCTTGTCTCGATGATTGTTGCTCGTCTTTCCTTTCTTAGGTCTCTTAGCTTTCCGTCTTAGCTCGTGGCCCTCGTCGATTCGCCCCCTGATTGACCCACGCGGACATCAATTTATGAATATGCGAGTCGTTAAAAAAAATAATTAAAATGTAAAAAAAGAAACAAAGGGGTGGTGCATCAGCTAGTGTTTAGATCGGATAAGCGCCTCATTGAAGAGAAAGAGAGAGGAAGAAATAACGAAAGCTCACTCGAGGATGGTTCTCGTAGCCGATAAATACTAACCTATAAGACAGCCTGCCAAGAATCAAAATACTGTAAAATATCAAACGAACGCTAGCCAGTACAGAATGCTAAGATCTATTTTTTAAGAAGCGAATGTATATTTTTGTACTAAGGCAGGCCTTAGTGTGAATCGTGTATTCTTGCGCGTAATGGCAAGACGAGAGCTGTGATCATAATATCATTTCGGCTTAGCGAGAGAACATATAAAGACAAAAAAATTGAAGGGGAAAATAAAAGAGAAATACGAGAAGAAAATAATAGAAGTAACGCGGCGATTACGCGTTCACGGAAAAGCATAAAGAGAGAGATAACGAGGCGAATGTTCTCCTGCTAGCGTTATTACCGAGTGGGCTATAGATACAAAAGGGGTGGCGATAAATCGAGAACAAAACATCTGTGATAAAACATAAAATCTTAGAAAGGGTGCTCGAGAGAAAGAGAGAGAGAGAGAGAGAGAGAAAAGGTGGCGAAAGAGAGGAAGTGAGAAAAAACAAGCGCGCGTTAAATGATATAATAAGAAAACCTAAAGTAGGAAAAAACGTTAAAACAAAAAGCAACACAATAGGGAGGAATAATATAGGTAAAAGACGGAACCCTACGTGTATTAGGGAAATGATACGAAAGACATGCAATTCCTACAAAAGAAAAACAAAATGTGTATAGAAGTGCTTTTAGAAGATCTATTGTGCGAAAATAATAATATTCGTCGTGCGTATGACTAATCGACAGATGGAGACTGTCTTTCGACGAGATAGCCCGGTCTAACTATTGTAGTGGTTACCGTCTTGTCGTATCCTTGTTTAAGGAGCGAACGCATTCGATCGTCATGTGGGCTTCGATGAACGCTCGCGTTATTATCTCAACGAGAAACATTCGACCGATGGGGATAACTAATGAAGGGTTCTTGATGTTTGCGATTCTTCGAGTAATAAGGAAAGCCATACCATACTAAACTATATAGAACGTTACTTAAGCGAACCAGACATTCCACGCTACTGTCGGTTATATAGTATCGCAACGCTGTAGTATATATACATATATATACATATGTATAGTTAATTTAGTACTATGATTAATTTCAAGCAAAGAATAGTCGTTGTTGCGTTGATTCTGTAAAAAGATCTAATGATCTGTCCGCAATCGACGTACACATATATATGTGTATTTCCATCAATTGTATTCGAAGCTACGCAAAGATCATGGAACTATACTAAGAACTAAAAAAACCCGCCTTCATCATGTCCACATGATAATTCGGCATAAAGTCAGGACGTCGTACACCACGAGTAGTATTATAAGTTCCTAAAGAAAAGAAAAAAAAATATTTTACACTGCTTAAGTACGATAGAACGAAGCCGGCATTACGAATAACTCATCTCACACGAACAAGGTGTTCAAGGCATTCGGTTCGATGTATGTAGTTTGTTAGATGATTCGTTCTGTTTTATGGGATTGTAAAACGCTTTTCAAACACAGCACCAGTAACGTTTTTCTTTTCTTGTCTTTTTTTACATATACATATATATATCTATCTCTCTATCTATCTATATAATATATATACATACACAGATATTTATATAATATATATATAGTTATATAGATATATAGATATGTATTATATATAATTTACAAGTACGTGTATAATCCATTCCAATCGAACGAGGCGGGCGTTATGGAACGTAACGGTAAAAATGTAAAAATTGGAAAGGATGGTTCTGCATTGAATGAAGAAACTAAACAGGATAAAACTTTCGCGAAAGGCAAGGAAATATTATAGTATGTGTGTAAATGGTATCGTTCAAACGTCGTGTGTGTGTGTATATATATATATATGTATACATAATATGTATATATATATATATATATATATATATATAGTGTATACATATAGTGTATACATATAGTGTATATATATATATAGTGTGTATATATATATATACACACACACACACACATTTATATATAGATAAACAATGAACGACACGTAGACCGATAAACTCGATAGATAACATGAAAAACGCGGGTTAATAATTTTACGTAACGTTACTATATATATATATTCTCGGTTATTTTATTACCGCCGTCTATTTCACTATAAAAGTTGAATCGTCTTGAGGTTTGTTCGAGAATCCGCACTGTGCAACAACCGACATAGACGACAAGGAGAGAGAAACGATATTCCGTAACTCCTCACTCGATACGTAACAAATGCTTAGAAGGATATTTACCAAAACGCAGCGTTATATTTGTATATAAGTTAATAAGGGCTGAAGTAACAAAACGCGAGCAAGCTATTTTTTATCGTTGGATCGCGAGATAAGGCGGAACGAACTCCGCCGATAAAGTATCTTCCATGAGAATAAAAGAAGAGAGAAACATTTGCGAAGTAAAAAAATGAAGAAATTAAAAAGAAAACAAACATGACCGGGCCCAAAATAAACGTCGCCGTGTTATATTTGTTCGTGAATTAATTGAAGTCCTAGCTCTATAGACGCATGTATATATACCAAAAAGAAAAGAAAAAATTTGTACGAAAGAAGGAAAGAGGAGAAGAAAAACACATACGATGTGATTAAGGATTTTTAATCACGGTCATCGTGTTTGCTAAATTGGGATTTCTAAACTGAATAACGTTAAGCTCTGTCTGCACTGAGGCAAGAAAGAGGAACTGTTTTTCGCCCTTTGTTATTGCATGTTCCAAAATATTTTCAACGAACAGCAACATTACAAAAATATTTTGTTCACACTGAAGCAATATTTGACAACAAGCAGCGACTTTCTCAAAAGACAGGAACAGCAATGCGAAGTTCACTGTTGTCGCTTCAGTGGAGATAGGGCTTTAAATGACGCGTCTCACGCCGAACAACGATCACCCTGATGCC